ACTTTACTACAGGTATAGAATTACACCACTTTACTAGGTACAGAATTACACCACTTTACTACAGGTACAGAATTACACCACTTAACTACAGGTACAGAATTACACAACTTTACTACAGGTACAGAATCACACCAGTTTACTACAGGTACAGAATTACATCACTTTACTACAGGTACAGAATTACACCACTTTACTACAGGTACAGAATTACACCACTTTACTACAGGTACAGAATTACACCACTTTACTACAGGTACAGAATCACACCACTTTACTTAGGTACAGAATCACACCACTTTACTACAGGTACAGAATTACACCACTTTACTACAGGTACAGAATTACATCACTTTACTACAGGTACAGAATTACACCACTTTACTACAGGTACAGAATTACACCACTTTACTACAGGTACAGAATCACACCACTTTACTACAGGTACAGAATTACACCACTTTACTACAGGTACTTACTACAGGTACAGAATCACACCACTTTACTACAGGTACAAAATTATACCACTTTACTACAGGTACAGAATCACACTACTTTACTGCAAGTACAGAATCACACCACTTTACTACAGGTACAGAATTACACCACTTTACTACAGGTACAGAATTACACCACTTTACTACAGGTACAGAATTACACCACTTTACTACAGGTACAGAATTACACCACTTTACTACAGGTACAGAATCACACCACTTTACTACAGGTACAGAATTACACCACTTTACTACAGGTACAGAATCACACCACTTTACTACAGGTACAGAATTACACCACTTTACTACAGGTACAGAATTACACCACTTTACTACAGGTACAGAATTACACCACTTTACTACAGGTACAGAATCACACTACTTTACTACAGGTACAGAATTACACCACTTTACTACAAGGTACAGAATTACACCACTTTACTACAGGTACAGAATCACACTACTTTACTTCAAGTACAGAATTACACCACTTTACTACAGGTACAGAGTCACACTACTTTACTACAGGTACAGAATCACACTACTTTACTAGCGGTACAGAATCACACTACTTTACTACAGGTACAGAATCACACTACTTTACTTATGGTACAGAATCACACCACTTTACTACAGGTACAGAATTACACCACTTTACTACAGGTACAGAATCACACTACTTTACTGCAAGTACAGAATCACACCACTTTACTACAGGTACAGAATTACACCACTTTACTACAGGTACAGAATCACACCACTTTACTACAAGTACAGAATTACACCACTTTACTACAGGTACAGAATCACATACTTTACTAAGGTACAGAATCACACCACTTTTATATACAGTGTACAGAATTACATCACTTTACTGTTGTGTACACAGTATTACATATCTGTTGTGTATGTATATCATATGGGAATTCTATATTATATCTGTTGTGTAGCAGAATGCTGTATTATATCTGTTGTGTAACAGTATATATATCTGTTTTGTAACAGTATATTATATCTGTTGTGTAACAGAATTCTATATTATATCTGTTGTGTAACAATATATCATATCTGTTGTGTAACAGAATATATCATATCAGTTGTGTAACAGTATATAATATCTGTTGTGTAACTGTATATCATAGCTGTTGTGTAACAGAATTTTATATTATATCTGTTGTGTAACAGTATATCATATCTGTTGTGTAACTGTGTATTTTATCTGTTGTGTAACAGTATATTATATCTGTGTAACAGAATTATATATTATATCTGATGTGTAACAGAATTCTATATCATATCTGTTGTGTAACTGTATATTATATCTGTTGTGTAACAGAATGCTATATTATATCTGTTGTGTAACAGTATATCATATCTGTTTTGTAACAGTATATTATATCTCTTGTGTAACAGAATTCTATATTATATCTGTTGTGTAACAATATATCATATCTATTGTGTAACAGAATTCTATATTATATCTGTTGTGTAACAGTATATCATATCTGTTGTGTAACAGAATTCTATATTATATATGTTGTGTAACAGTATATTATATCTGTTGTGTAACAATATATCATATCTGTTGTGTAACAATATATTATATCTTTTGTGTAACAGATTTCTATATTATATCTGTTGTGTAACAAAATTCTATATCATATCTGTTGTGTAACAGTATATCATATCTGTTGTGTAACTGTATATTATATCTGTGTAACAGAATTCTGTATTATATCTATTGTGTAACAGAATTCTATATCATATCTGTTGTGTAACAGTATATAATATCTGTTGTGTAACTGTATGTATATTTTATTTGTTGTGTAACTGTATATCATAACTGTTGTGTAACAGTATATCATATCTGTTGTGTAACAGAATTCTATATCATATCTGTTGTGTAACAGTATATCATATCTGTTGTGTAACAGAATATATCATATCTGTTGTGTAACTGTATATTATATCTGTTGTGTAACAGAATTCTATATCATATCTGTTGTGTAACAGTATATCATATCTGTTGTGTAACAGTATATTATATCTGTGTAACAGAATTATATATTATATCTGTTGTATAACAGAATTTTATATCATATCTGTTGTGTAACTGTACATCATATCTGTTGTGTAACAGTATATTATATCTCTTGTGTAACAGAATTCTATATTATATCTGTTGTGTAACAGTATATCATATCTGTTGTGTAACTGTATATTAGATCTCTTGTGTAACAGAATTCTATATTATATCTGTTGTGTAACAGTATATCATATCTGTTGTGTAACTGTATATTTTATCTGTTGTGTAACTGTATATCATATCTGTTGTGTAACAGTATATTGTATCTGTTGTATAACAGAATTATATATCATATCTGTTGTGTAACTGTATATCATATCTGTTGTGTAACAGTATATTATATCTGTTGTGTAACAGAATTCTATATTATATCTGTTGTGTAACAGTATATCATATCTGTTGTGTAACAGTATATCATATCTGTTGTGTAACAGTCTATTATATCTGTTGTGTAACAGAATTCTATATTATTTCTGTTGTGTAACAGAATTCTATATTATATCTGTTGTGTAACAGTATATAATATCTGTTGTGTAACAGTATATGATATCTGTTGTGTAACTGTATATTTTATCTGTTGTGTAACTGTATATAATATCTGTTGTGTAACAGTATATTATATCTGTTGTGTAACAATATATTATATCTGTTGTGTAACAATATATCATATCTTTTGTGTAACAGATTTCTATATTATATCTGTTGTGTAACAAAATTCTATATCATATCTGTTGTGTAACAGTATATCATATCTGTTGTGTAACTGTATATTATATCTGTGTAACAGAATTCTATATTATATCTGTTGTGTAACAGAATTCTATATCATATCTGTTGTGTAACTGTATATCATATCTGTTGTGTAACAGTATATTATATCTGTTGTGTAACAGTATATCATATCTGTTGTGTAACTGTATATTTTATTTGTTGTGTAACTGTATATCATAACTGTTGTGTAACAGTATATCATATCTGTTGTGTAACAGAATTCTATATCATATCTGTTGTGTAACAGTATATCATATCTGTTGTGTAACAGAATTCTATATCATATCTGTTGTGTAACTGTATATTATATCTGTTGTGTAACAGAATTCTATATCATATCTGTTGTGTAACAGTATATCATATCTGTTGTGTAACAGTATATTATATCTGTGTAACATAATTATATATTATATCTGTTGTATAACAGAATTTTATATCATATCTGTTGTGTAACTGTACATCATATCTGTTGTGTAACAGTATATTATATCTCTTGTGTAACAGAATTCTATATTATATATGTTGTGTAACAGTATATCATATCTGTTGTGTAACAGTAAATTATATCTGTTGTGTAACAGAATTCTATATTATATCTGTTGTGTAACAGTATATCATATCTGTTGTGTAACTGTATATTTTATCTGTTGTGTAACTGTATATCATATCTGTTGTGTAACAGTATATTGTATCTGTTGTATAACAGAATTATATATCATATCTGTTGTGTAACTGTATAATTATATCTCTTGTGTAACAGAATTCTATATCATATCTGTTGTGTAACAGTATATCATATCTGTTGTATAACAGTATATTATATCTGTTGTGTAACAGTATATCATATCTGTTGTGTAACAGTATATCATATCTGTTGTGTAACAGTCTATTATATCTGTTGTGTAACTGTATATCATATCTGTTGTGTAACAGTATATTGTATCTGTTGTGTAACAGAATTCTATATTATATCTGTTGTGTAACAGTATATTATATCTGTTGTGTAACTGTATATCATATCTGTTGTGTAACAGAATGCTGTATTATATCTGTTGTGTAACAGTATATTATATCTGTTGTGTAACAGAATGCTGTATTATATCTTGTGTAACAGTATATCATATCTGTTGTGTAACAGAATTCTATATTATATCTGTTGTGTAACAGTATATTATATCTGTTGTGTAACAATATATCATATCTGTTGTGTAACAGAATTCTATATTATATCTGTTGTGTAACAGTATATTATATCTGTTGTGTAACAATATATCATATCTGTTGTGTATCAGAATTCTATATTATATCTGTTGTGTAGCAGAATGCTGTATTATATCTGTTGTGTAACAGTATATCATATCTGTTGTGTAACAAAATTCTATATCATATCTGTTGTGTAACAATATATCATATCTGTTGTGTAACAGAATTCTATATTATATCTGTTGTGTAACAGTATATCATATCTGTTGTGTAACAAAATTCTATATCATATCTGTTGTGTAACTGTATATCATATCTGTTGTGTAACAATATATCATATATGTTGTGTAACAGAATTCTATATTATATCTGTTGTGTAACAGAATTCTATATATATCTTATGTGTAACAGAATTCTATATTGATCTATAATGTTTTTTTTTCCAGATATACCTGTTGTTAACATCCTTGAGAATCAGTACTCTGTTATCACTGGAACAACAGCTACACTTGTGTGTACAGTCACTGCTGATCCGCCACACAACTCAGTCTACTGGCAACGTATTCAGAATGGCATCACCCAAAATGTCCTCATAGACGGTGCCAACTATGGTGGATCTACAGTCAATTCGCCATCTCTTATTGTATACAATGCAGACGTTGCAGACCAGGGAGTGTATATCTGTTTTGCCACCAATATTGTTGGAACCGGACAGAGTGCTCAGACAGTTCTCTCTGTCACAGGAAGTAAGTTAATATAGTCAAGGGGTTTCCTCAAACAGATCTTGAAAAAAATGAAAAATAGGTTTGATTTATTTAATGAGAAATATAGGAATTATGTCATATAATCATCAACACTTACAATGATGTTTTAGTTGAGAAACCCATCAACACTAAAAATGGTGTTTTAGTTGAGAAACCCATCAACACTAAAAATGGTGTTTTAGTTGAGAAACCCATCAACACTAAAAATGGTGTTTTAGTTGAGAAACCCATCAACACTAAAAATGGTGTTTTAGTTGAGAAACCCATCAACACTAAAAATGATGTTTTAGTTGAGAAACCCATCAACACTAAAAATGATGTTTTAGTTGAGAAACCCATCAACACTAAAAATGATGTTTTAGTTGAGAAACCCATCAACACTAAAAATGATGTTTTAGTTGAGAAACCCATCAACACTAAAAATGATGTTTTAGTTGAGAAAGCTTATCAACACTAAAAATGATGTTTTAGTTGAGAAACCCATCAACACTAAAAATGATGTTTTAGTTGAGAAACCCATCAACACTAAAAATGGTGTTTTAGTTGAGAAACCCATCAACACTAAAAATGATGTTTTAGTTGAGAAACCCATCAACACTAAAAATGATGTTTTAGTTGAGAAAGCTTATCAACACTAAAAATGATGTTTTAGTTGAGAAACCTATCAACACTAAAAATGATGTTTTAGTTGAGAAACCTATCAACACTAAAAATGATGTTTTAGTTGAGAAACCCATCAACACTAAAAATGATGTTTTAGTTGAGAAACCTATCAACACTAAAAATGATGTTTTAGTTGAGAAACCCATCAACACTAAAAATGATGTTTTAGTTGAGAAACCCATCAACACTAAAAATGATGTTTTAGTTGAGAAACCCATCAACACTAAAAATGATGTTTTAGTTGAGAAACCTATCAACACTAAAAATGATGTTTTAGTTGAGAAACCCATCAACACTAAAAATGATGTTTTAGTTGAGAAAACCTTCAACACTAAAAGTGATATTTTAGTTGAGAAACTTATCAACACCAAAAATGATGTTTTAATGGAGAAACCTATTAACACTAAAAATGATGTTTTAGTTGAGAATCCCATCAACACTAAAAATGATGTTTTAGTTGAGAAAACCTTCAACACTAAAACTGATGTTTTAGATGAGAAACACATCAACACTAAAAATGATGTTTTAGTTGAGAAACCCATCAACACTAAAAATGACATTTTAGTTGAGAAACCCATCAACACTAAAAATGATGTTTTAGGTGAGAAAGCTGGTCAACACTAAAAATGACGTTTTATTGGAGAAACCTATCAACACTAAAAATGATGTTTTAGTTGAGAAGCCCATCAACACTAAAAATGATGTTTTTTTTTAGTTGTAAAAGCCCATCAACACTAAAATTGAGTAGAGAATTTTGCATTAAAAAGATTTTTTAATTGTGGATGGCTTGATTATAGAAGTGAATGTTCCTTGACTGATTATTTAATACTGTAAGATGAATATGATTATTTTGACCACCATAATCTCGCTATAAATAGCCTATAGGATATTTCAGCCTTTGCAGTAAGTAGATTTAGTGCTGATAAAAAGCTTTGAGTTATTGTTTAATTGTGACTTGTTCTATACCTAGGTCTGCCTGTAGTAACAATAGCCCAGAATGCCTACTCTGTGGTGACTGGTCAACCTGTCACACTTGAATGCACAGTGACTGCAACCCCTGGTCACACAGTTGTATACTGGCAGCGTTATAACAATGGGGTGGCCAGTCAACTGACCATTGATGGAACAAAATACACTGGATCTACTGTGAATTCCCCATCCCTGACCATCAATAATGCTGCTGCAAGTGACCAGTCTGTGTACACCTGCTCCGCTACAAATGCTGTAGGTACTGGCACCAGTGGTCAGACAACTTTAACAGTCACAGGATGTAAGTACATTTTTTGTAGCAATAACCAATCATTTACATGTCAATGCACATTCTCATCTGTTGTCTGCCTTGCCAAATGTCATTAAGGAAGATTCAGGCAATTTTCAATGTTTTAAATCACTTGGTCTGAAGGGTGATTGAGCTATCGGGATATATAGTGGTGTCCACCATCCATCAACTTTTCCTATAAATCGCTACTAGTCATGAACACTTGAGCATATCATAACCAAATTTGATCTAAAGCTGGGGGTTGGGGCTCATTAGGGGGGAAATAGGGCAATTCTTTAAAATCCTTCCTCTGAAGAATGTAGACATCTTTGGTGAAGAGAACTTTGCTTTGTACAAATAGTGCATCTTTTGGAGGAGGGGTTAGCCTGTAATAGGGAAATGAATTATTTTTTTTTTATAATTTTTTATTTTTTTGAAGATTTTCAACAATGCATGAAACATAACACATCAAACATTCCACTCACACATGGCCATTTTCACTTAGGTACAAAGGAATGTAAATAGAGTAAAAAATGAAAGCCTGACATTAAGATTGATACTAAAGTAAGTGCTATGTTATAGTGTACCGTTTTTAGAGAAAAGGAAAAAATGAGCATAGTAGCAGTAAGAGAGATGAAGGAGAGGGAGGGAGGGGATGAGTATGGTGCCGGTAGGATCTGACAGGGGCTTTATTATTTTATTTCATTTTTGATACATTCAGCTAACAAAGTTAAAATAGAAAATAATCCAAAAATGATTTAAAATTTCACTACATAGTCTGAAGTAGTCTTTCCCATTTTCTCCATTCCTGTTTAAAATTGGTGAGATAATTTTCCCCATATCCTGTAGCAATGTTTTTTTGAGTGTTATATGTATCTTTAATCAAATTCTTCAAAGCTGAAAGTGACAGACCAGTTTGCAGACATCTTGCCTGATAGATGTAAAGTTTTATGATAAGTAGGACTAAATTGTCAACATTAGTTTTCCTATCAAAGAAACCAAATATGAAGGATTCTTTATTAAAAGCAAATGGAATTAATAATGGATCTAACACTGCTTCAAAGTCAGTTAAAAATGCTTGTACCTCTTGACATTCCCATATCGCATGAATTATAGTCTCAATATCAGTTTTACAGTGATAACAATAAGGGCTGTCAACAAGACCAATTTTATAAAGATAAGGTTTGTGGTTAAAATATGCTGATTGATTCTAAATTGGAGCCATTGTAGTTTGGTATTTTTACTTATTTTAAAGGGAATGGTATAGATTTTTTTCCATATATCATTATTAAAGTCAAACATTTGCTCCCACTTCTTTCTACCTGTAGATACTGTATTATTCTGACATAGAACATGGTAGAAATCCTTAGTTCCTTTTTTATGTCTAAGAAAAATTTCCAAATTCATCGGGATGTATGAATAGTCAACATTTAAATAAGTAATATCTTCAGGTAAAATGAGTTTTTTTTACAGAATTAATGATACCTTGATATGTAAGAAAATTTGTTTGGATGCCAAATTTTTGTATGAACTCTTGATGATTGTAGAAAGATTTATTTCTTTTTTCTTTTATTATATCATTGACTATTATTACCCCCTTTCTATACCATTCCCTGAAAAAAACACTCTTGTTTTGTATTTTTATTGATTTGTTATACCAAATTGGGGATTTAAGAATATTTGTTCCACTTTGGCTTCCATAGTTTACACCCTTTTCAATTAGCTTGCCCCAACTTAGTAGCACATCTTTCCAGAATAAGTTTTTACAGTTTCTCTGACATTTTGATAAATAGTCAGTACCACAGTTAGCCATAGTGTAGCTATTTCCGTATGTTTTTACAAAAATCTGCCATTTTCCATCTGTTGTATATAACCTTCGAATCCAAGTTAGTTTTAAGGATTCTATGAAAGATTGTTAATGTAACATTTTGAGCCCTCTTCAAAATAGTTTTTGATAATAATGTCTCTTTTTATTTTATCTGTTTTACCATTCCATAAAAAATTATTAAGTTCAGTATTAAGTTTTCTGATAAAACACTCCTCGCGGTTTGGTTAAGAGATAAAAAGATGTAATAAAATAAGCGTAGCCGAATGGTTTTACTATACGCTAACAGTCATTTCGGCACTTGTCAGCATGTCCGAAATCGACGCTATTCCACAACAACTCGTACACATATCACACCTTTGTGTACATGCTTTACTGGTCATTTGTCTGAGGAAGGTGACAGCGTACGGATCGTACTGGTCACCGAAACGTCACATATTAAAATTCCTGGTTGTGTATAAAGAATCTTTACATAATCCTTACTTTCCAACCTGACGAAAATGCTCAGTATTATTAGATAAAAAGATGATTAAGCTGTGATATCAAAAGAGACTTAATTATATGTATTTTTCCTATTGGTGTTAAAATCCTTCTATTCCATATTCTAATTAATGCCTTTAGCTTTACTATTTTTTTGTCATAGTTTAATTTTGGAATTTGGTGCAGGTCCATGTTAAAATCAATACCCAAGACTGTAAACTTTGTACACTCATGCCTTTTATACTGTTATTAATCCTAAATCTTATAGCAAGTATCTCTACACATAAAATAAATATATAAGGCGCGATTGGGTCACCCTGACGGCAACCCCGCTTTATTTCGAAAAACTTTGAGAGACTTCCTCCCTGATTAATAGAAGATATAGCATCAGTATGTAAAGTCTTTATCCACCTTCGTAAATCATTTCCAAAATTAAAAAAAAACAACACTTGTTTATAAAGTCCCAACTAACAGAATCAAAAGCCTTTTCAAAATCAATAATTAAAAGCATACCAGAAATTTCATTTTCATCTGCATACTGCATATCATAAATTATCCTTGTATTCTCCCCTATATACCTTCGAGCAATAAAACCAGTCTGATCCATATTGATTAATTTGTCTAAAACCCTTTTTACTCTACCTGCTATTGAACCTGATGCTATTTTGTATATTATATTGAGTAAGGAGATTGGCCTCCAATTCTTTAAAAACTGCCTGGGTTTCTCTCCCTTTGGTAGACATGTAATTATACCCTGTCTTTGAGTTATAGATAATTTACCAGTCAAATAGCCATGATTAATAGATCCAACTACAAAATTACTTACTTTCCCCCAAAAACATTTAAAAAATTCTGCTGTAAATCCATCTGACCCAGGACTTTTATTATTATTCATATTTCTTAAAGTACTTGAGGCTTCTTCTAAAGTAATTTTACCCTCCAGTGATAATGATTCTGCCCTATCTAGTTTAGGAATATTATTGTTATATATATCTACATATGCATCTAAATCAACATCTTCAATATTACTATTACTGGAATACAAATTTTCATAAATTTTTTTTATTTCATTTAAGATATCTTCCTGTTTTCTAATAATTTCCCCATTTTCTTTTTCTATCATTGGAATAATTTTTGATGTAAAATTTCTGTTTTCTAAATTAAAAAAATATTTTGAAGGTTTTTCCCCCTCTTCAACCATCTAGTTTTTGAACGAATAATATTTCCCTTCATTTTATGTTGCCTAATTGTTTCTAATGTTTTCTTTTTTTCTCCAACTAGATTTATATATACATTGTCACAGGCCTCTAAAGAATTAATTTCTTCAATAAGATTCTTCTCATGTTTCTCTTATAAGATGAGTATGAAATTGTTTTCCCCCTAATTTCGAATAATAATGTTTCTAAAAAAAGTTGATCATTAATTTGAAATTGAATTTCATTGTCAGGAATTATAGTAAGGTAATCAGGATTGTAGACAGGAAGAGCATACTGTAATTTAACTGTAGAAATAAGTTTATTAATTAAATCTAGATACTCTGAGTCATGCAGTAATGAGTTATTGAATTTCCAAAGACCTTTTCCCTTTTTGAACTCATTAAACTTAAAAGATATTGAAGGTGAGGAGTGATCTGAACGATAGCCAGTTTCTATACTACATTTTTGTATATTTCTCACCAAATTATCTGATATTAAAATGAAATCAAGACAAGTTTGTTTTGTAGGATTAGTTCTTCTCCATGTGTACCTTCTTTTCTCTGGGTGTTGTTCTCTATAAATGTCTACTAAGTTAAGTTCTTCCATTAATTCAATTATCTTATCCCTAGCCCTTGGATTATTTATCTGTCTATAATTTTGATCATAGTCTAGGTCAGGATTCAACACCAAATTAAAATCACCACATACAATAAAATATTCATTATTAAACTCATTAATAGCATCTACTACATTATCATAAAAATGTGGCCTATCTGTGTTAGGACCATATATTGTTACCAAAGTTACCTCTTTTTCGTCTATCAACATGTCTAATGCAAGAAAGTTCCCTTCTGTATCTTTCTTTTCATTCCTCACCTTCATTTCAAAGATATTATTAATTAGAATTGCAACCCCCCTTGAATTTGATCTAAATGAACTAAAATGACAAGAATATCCCCATGGGAAATGAATTGTGTGTTTTAAATACTGTGTATGACCTTTTTTTATATAATGTCTTATTTAGGATACTGCCAGTCCCTTGTTGTGACTGATCAGAAAAAATGAAATGGCCAACAGGCAGCCATTTTGAATTTGAAAATTAAAAATTGTTATCGCTATTTAGAGGTTGCTTGAGAAAGAAGTATTATTTGGAAATGATTTCTGGGTAGTTTAATGTACACATTTTGAAGTGGAAAGGAATAGAATAGAATTTGGGATTTGGTGAGACAGCATAAAAGGGAGAAATCTGTTGTTAACTTTTGAGCAATTAAAATATGTCCTGTACATATTAATCATGCAGCAGAATTTTACTGTAATTGACCCACTAGGGAAAATTTTATTTAAAATCTCTTATAATACTGGTAACTTAAAGAAATTCACAAAGCATTTTGACTTGAGACTTTTGTGCCCTGTATAATGACATTTAAAAAAATGATATGATTTTAATCAATCAGTATCAGTATTGGTGAGGTATTTTTAGACGCTGTGCATCTGTATGATGCTTTGTGTCTATGGGATGCTCAGCGTCTATATATATCACTCGGATAGCTCCTAGCTGGCTAGGCAATTTATAGCCAATGACCAAATGCAACACAAAAAGACCTGACAATTATCACATATACCTATGTATCTTGACCTTTCTGGACTTTTATCATTTAACATGTGCAATAATTATTGAAAAGCAATATACTATATTTATTGAGATCTGATTTCAATAGTGACCATTGGTCATCCATAAAGTATTTGTTATTTAAGAATAGGTGCATTTAAAAACAATTCAATAGTAATTGAATATGATGACCATTTTGACCTGTTGATCTATTGACCGTGCAATTTGAAAACCCTTTCTTATTGATAAACATTGATGATCTATTGTTGACCTATTAAATGTATTGTGATATCAAACCCCAGTACAGATTGAAGAGTGACTTCTACAAGAGCAATAAGTTTCTGCTCAGTTGTACCTTATTGGCCTTTTTTCCTAAGAAACTGTCAGGTGATCTCTTAGGTCTATTGTTCTCGTGTCTGTTTCTATATTTAGACCTATTGACCTCTTGTCTGTTCCTATATTTTGACATATGGACCTCTTGTCTTTTTCTATATTTAGACCTATTGACCTCTTGTCTGTTTCTATATTTAGACCTATTGACCTCTTGTCTGTTTCTATATTTACAGCTCTCCCAGTGCCAACTATTGCTGAAAATACCTACAGTGTGATAACTGGCCAGAGCATTACTTTGGAGTGTACAGTGTCATCTGACCCAGCTCACACTGTCGTCTTCTGGCAGCGAATTATCAACGGCCAGACACAGTCTATCAATATTGATGGCTCCAAGTATGTAGGTTCTACATTGAGTTCTCCATCTCTTGTCATCTCCAATGCTGCCAACTCTGATCAAGGATCTTATATCTGTTTGGCCACCAACATTGTCGGGACAGGACAAAGTTCTCAGACTGTACTAAGTGTGACAGGAAGTAAGTGAAATCCCATCATCATAATGTCATCCCTGGTAACAATATAGTACCTGGCCCTGTAACCCAACATCACCCCTGGTAACAATATAGTACCTGGCCCTGTAACCCAACATCACCCCTTGTAACAATATAGTACCTGGCCCTGTAACCCAACATCACCCCTGGTAACAATATAGTACATAACTGTTTTAAGAGGGATCCAGGGTTATTGGAAATAAGTAATATTTTTTTCAGGTTATGTATTCATTGATATTGAAGTTTTTACATTAGGTATAACGTAGTTCAAACATTAATGCTGTGAAGCTTATCACTTGTTTAATGAATGGTGTTTGTTTATAGGTTTACCAGTTGTGATCATTGCCCAATCCAGCTATTCAGCCACCACTGGACAGACCATCACTTTGGGTTGTACCGTATCTGCTGATCCAATCTATACACAGGTTTCCTGGCAACGGATCGATGGAGGTGTGTCTACTCCCATCAACCTCAACAATGTGAACAAATATAGTGGCTCCACGGTCAACATTCCATCACTCACCATCTCCAGTGTTAATGCTAATGATCAGGCCATCTACACCTGCTCTGCTACGAATATTGTGGGAACAGGGACCAGCGGTCAAACAACCTTAACGGTCACTGGATGTATGTATATAATTTAGTATCCAATTGTGACTTCAGATTTCAGTTCTTGCTTTTCATGATTATTCATAATGCCATCTGAGATGAAAGGTGGGGCAAAATGATTTTAGTTCACAACATCTAAAATTTATTTTCTCCAGTTCAACAGGTACCTGGCTGAGATAAGATGTTAATATGTTGGGGACTGATCACTTATGTTACATTTTGTTGCTGTAATTGTTTGTCTTATAGTTGTTATCATTGTCAATCCTGCTATCATTGGATGTATAGGACATTATAATAGTTATTATCAATGTCAGTCCTGCTATCATAGGATGTATAGGACATTATAATAGTTGTTATCATTGTCAATCCTGCTATCATAGGATGTATAGGACATTATAATAGTTATCATTGTCAATCCTGCTATCATAGGATGTATAGGACATTATAATAGTTGTTATCATTGTCAATCCTGCTATCATAGGATGTATAGGACATTATAATAGTTGTTATCATTGTCAATCCTGCTATCATAGGATGTATAGGACATTATAATAGTTGTTATCATTGTCAATCCTGCTATCATAGGATGTATAGGACATTATAATAGTTGTTATCATTGTCAATCCTGCTATCATAGGATGTATAGGACATTATAATAGTTGTTATCATTGTCAATCCTGCTATCATAGGATGTATAGGACATTATAATAGTTGTTATCATTGTCAATCCTGCTATCATAGGATGTATAGGACATTATAATAGTTGTTATCATTGTCAATCCTGCTATTATAGGATGTATAGGACATTATAATAGTTATCATTGTCAATCCTGCTACCATAGGATGTATAGGACATTATAATAGTTGATATCATTGTCAATCCTGCTATTATAGGATGTATAGGACATTATAATAGTTGTTATCATTGTCAATCCTGCTATCATAGGATGTATAGGACATTATAATAGTTGTTATCATTGTCAATCCTGCTATCATAGGATGTATAGGACATTATAATAGTTGTTATCATTGTCAATCCTGCTATCATAGGATGTATAGGACATTATAATAGTTGTTATCATTGTCAATCCTGCTATCATAGGATGTATAGGACATTATAATAGTTGTTATCATTGTCAATCCTGCTATCATAGGATGTATAGGACATTATAATAGTTGTTATCATTGTCAATCCTGCTATCATAGGATGTATAGGACATTATAATAGTTGTTATCATTGTCAATCCTGCTATCATAGGATGTATAGGACATTATAATAGTTGTTATCATTGTCAATCCTGCTATCATAGGATGTATAGGACATTATAATAGTTGTTATCATTGTCAATCCTGCTATTGTGGGACATATGGGACATTATGATAGTTTTTTATGTAGGATGTTTGGTCCTTGATTGGTCCTGGGTTATATATCTCTTTTTTTATTGATTTGACTCTTTTAGGTTTGGTTAGATAAGTTAATAGCTTGTGGTTTTGTTTTCTGAAGTGGCTTTTTCTCCAAATATTATTAGTCCCTAGTGTACTACTTTTTCAAATGTTTCTGTCTGTCCAGCCATTCATCATAATTTTGTGAGTGGTAATTTATACTTTATGAAGTGAATTGTTACTGTAAGCACTATCTGTAGATTTGTATGTATTATTTAAGACTTTATGTAGTAATGATGTGGAATCCAGGTACAACAAACACACTGATGGAGGACTAATGTACCATTGCTTTATCGTATAATTCACTGTTTGTTACAGCGCTACCTATTGTCACCATCTCTCAGAGTACCTACAGTGTTATCACAGGACAATCTATTACATTGGGCTGTGTGGTGAGTGCAACTCCCACTCACACCTCTGTCTCTTGGCAGCGTGTGGTGAATGGCCAGTCTCAGGCTATTGATGTGAGTAGTTCCAAGTATGCTGGCTCCACTGTCACCTCACCATCACTCATAATCTTTAATGCTGCTGAATCGGATGAGGGAGTGTACATTTGTTTAGCTTCCAATGTTGTTGGGACTGGACAGAGTACTTCGACCACACTTACAGTCACAGGAAGTAAGTACAATGCCAGTTCATTGTCACCATTCAGATGTTCATCTTAAAATCAAAATGTTATCAAATGAATTTGCCCATGTCACTAAAGTGTAACATACCCTGAGGTGTACTAATCAGAAATTGATTGTGATGTCATAATATGGACAATGATGAACAATTATGTAATAGTTTAAAAAAGGCACAACCAAATGGCTGCCTCCACTTTATTTTGCCCGCCACAGTTTATGTTTAAAACCTGTTATAATGTAACTTTTCTGAGTTATGCGATCACAATTGTCTTGAAATTTCTTTTCGTTTCATATGAGTTTTTATGAAACTCATTTTGATGTTTGAATTTTTCCCCCCAAAGGCTTAAAATCTTAAAAATTTGGAAATCTTGTTTCATTATTTAATATGAAATGTAAACAAATTAAATTCTTATTATATATATTGATAGTCTATCCTTGTCTATTTTCTTCTTATCTCTAAATTATTCCTGTTGTAGCTATACCTGTCGTAACCGTTGCCCAGTCGTCATATTCAGTCATCACAGGACAGTCCATTGTCCTAGGATGTACTGTGACGTCTGACCCTGCCCACTCACAAGTGTTCTGGCGCCGGAGCGTCAATGGTGTACTTACCAACATTAATATTGATGGCAATAAATATGCAGGATCTACTGTTAACACACCTTCTCTCACCATCTTCAATGCTGCAGCCAGTGACATGACCACATACACCTGTTCAGCTACAAATGTTGTAGGAACAGGAACCAGTGCCCCAACCACCCTAGCAGTTACTGGCTGTAAGTTAATTTATGCAGGATAGGAAATCAACACCATGGTTTATCAGTCTTCAGTATCTATGGAATAGGGTAGGGGTGGGGGTTGTAAGTTATTCTCAAGATGACACAGTTCTAGTGTATTGAATAGGATACTATAATATTCTGTAAGAGGATGATTGTGTATTATACTGAAATATTTTGCAGGATGATAATTGTGTATTATACTGAAATATTCTGTAGGATGATAATTGTGTATTATACTATAATATTCTGTAAGATGATAATTGTGTATTATACTGAAATATTCTGTAAGATGATAATTGTGTATTATACTGAAATATTCTGTAGGATGATAATTGTGTATTATACTGAAATATTCTGTAGGATGATTGTGTATTATACTGAAATATTCTGTAAGATGATAATTGTGTATTATACTGAAATATTCTGTAAGATGATAATTGTGTATTATATTGAAATATTTTGCAGGATGATAATTGTGTATTATACTGAAATATTCTGTAGGATGATTGTGTATTATACTGAAATATTCTGTAAGATGATAATTGTGTATTATACTGAAATATTCTCTAGGATGATAATTGTGTATTATACTGAAATATTCTGTAAGATGATAATTGTGTATTATACTGAAATATTCTGTAAGATGATAATTGTGTATTATATTGAAATATTTTGCAGGATGATAATTGTGTATTATACTGAAATATTCTGTAGGATGATAATTGTGTATTATACTGAAATATTCTGTAAGATGATAATTGTGTATTATATTGAAATATTTTGCAGGATGATAATTGTGTATTATACTGAAATATTCTGTAGGATGATTGTGTATTATACTGAAATATTCTGTAAGATGATAATTGTGTATTATACTGAAATATTCTCTAGGATGATAATTGTGTATTATACTGAAATATTCTGTAAGATGATAATTGTGTATTATACTGAAATATTCTGTAAGATGATAATTGTGTATTATATTGAAATATTTTGCAGGATGATAATTGTGTATTATACTGAAATATTCTGTAGGATGATAATTGTGTATTATACTGAAATATTCTGTAAGATGATAATTGTGTATTATATTGAAATATTTTGCAGGATGATAATTGTGTATTATACTGAAATATTCTGTAAGATGATAATTGTGTATTATACTGAAATATTCTGTAGGATGACTGTGTATTATACTGAACTATTCTGTAAGATGATAATTGTGTATTATACTGAAATATTCTGTAAGATGATAATTGTGTATTATATTGAAATATTTTGCAGGATGATAATTGTGTATTATACTGAAATATTCTGTAGGATGATGATCGTGTATTATACTGAAATATTCTGTAGGATGATTGTGTATTATACTGAAATATTCTGTAAGATGATAATTGTGTATTATATTGAAATATTTTGCAGGATGATAATTGTGTATTATACTGAAATATTCTGTAAGATGATAATTGTGTATTATACTATAATATTCTGTAAGATGATAATTGTGTATTATATTGAAATATTTTGCAGGATGATAATTGTGTATTATACTGAAATATTCTGTAGGATGATCGTGTATTATACTGAAATATTCTGTAGGATGATTGTGTATTATACTGAAATATTCTGTAAGATGATAATTGTGTATTATATTGAAATATTTTGCAGGATGATAATTGTGTATTATACTGAAATATTCTGTAAGATGATAATTGTGTATTATACTGAAATATTCTGTAAGATGATAATTGTGTATTATACTGAAATATTCTGTAGGATGATAATTGTGTATTATACTGAAATATTCTGTAGGATGATAATTGTGTATTATACTGAAATATTCTGTAGGATGATAATTGTGTATTATACTGAAATATTCTGTAGGATGATAATTGTGTATTATACTGAAATATTCTGTAGGATGATTGTGTATTATACTGAAATATTCTGTAGGATGATAATTGTGTATTATACTGAAATATTCTCTAGGATGATAATTGTGTATTATACTGAAATATTCTGTAAGATGATAATTGTGTATTATACTGAAATATTCTGTAGGATGATAATTGTGTATTATACTGAAATATTCTGTAGGATGATAATTGTGTATTATACTGAAATATTCTGTAGGATGATAATTGTGTATTATACTGAAATATTCTGTAAGATGATAATTGTGTATTATACTGAAATATTCTGTAGGATGATAATTGTGTATTATACTGAAATATTCTGTAAGATGATAATTGTGTATTATACTGAAATATTCTGTAAGATGATGATCGTGTGTTAAAATGATAGTGGTATTCAAATAGGACATACAGTTTAAATAAAAAGGTTTTGTGAGAAACACACTTTGGTGTTAGCTGGAACACCATAATTGATTTTGTTGTTTATAGCTGCCAGGCAGAGTCAGCATTGGTCTCAGATTGACTGTGTTGTATTTAGTGGCCCCTGGAGGCAGCATTGTCTCAGACTGACTGTGTTGTATTTAGTGGCCCCTGGAGGCAGCATTGTCTCAGACTGACTGTGTTGTATTTAGTGGCCCCTGGAGACAGCATTGTTTCAGATTGACTTGTGTTGTATTTAGTGGCCCCTGGAGACAACACAAGTCTCAGATTGACTGTGTTGTATCTAGTGGCCCCTGGAGTCAGCAATGTCTCAGTTTGACTTTGATGTTTTTAGCTCCCCCAGTTGTCACCATTGCCCAGACCAGCTACACCATCACTGTTGGAACCACTGTCACTCTGGGTTGTACTGTTGCATCTGATCCTGCCCATACATCTGTCTCTTGGCAGCGTGTCATCAATGGGCAGACTGAAGCTGTCACCATAGATGGAACTAACTTTGGTGGATCCACCCTCAACTCACCATCCCTGATTGTGTACAATGCAAATGAAGCAGATGAGGGGAACTACATCTGTTTTGCCACCAACACTGTAGGAACTGGTCAGAGTCTTCCGACTGCACTTGTTGTCACTGGAAGTAAGTGATAAAAAGCTACAAAATTTTGTCTTAAGACAGAAATGTTGACTTGCTGTAGTGAAAAACATGAAGCTTTAGCTGTTCAAGTGATGTGTATGAAAAGTTGTGACTGGCTATTGCTTTGAATGGTTCAAGTTTGGTCTGATACAACATTTGTTTTTTCACAGGTATCCCTGTTGTAACTGTTACGCAGACACAGTACTCAGTAGTGACAGGAAATGATGTCACTATCCAATGTTTCGTGACTGCAGACCCGGCACACACTGCTGTATTCTGGGAGAGAACCATTGGTGGAGTAACTACACAGATTACCATTGACAACATCAACTATTCAGGATCACAGGTCAACAGTCCATCTCTGAGAATCCTCTCAACTAACATCGCAGACACAGGCATCTATGTCTGCAAAGCCACAAATGCTGTGGGTACTGGACAGAGTTCAACTGTTCAACTGAGTGTTACAGGAAGTAAGTTATGTTTTGCATGGTTGGAAGGTGGCATGTAAATGGAGATAAAAGGGATAGGGGCAAAAAACTAGTCATAAAGGGGATCAAATCAAAAGGGGATTCGGAGATGGGAAGATGGGAAGAGAGAGTGAAAAAATTATCAAAAGGGGGTGAGGGGGTAGGTAGGTAATCCTAAAAAAAATGGACAGATAAAAGAATCTTGAAGGATAGGCGGAGATATTAATCATCAAGAGGCAGACAGAGAAATAAACCAGAAAGGGGAGGGAGAGAAAATAATCATCAAGGGGAAGAGAGAGAAAATAATCCTTAAGGGGAGGTGAGAGAAAATAATCCTGAAGGGGAGGTGAGAGAAAATAGTTATAAAGGAAGCATACTTTTTATTTAAGACAAATATTGCAACACAAAGAAAACATAATCCTCATTGATGTTGATTAACATTGCTTTTGTTATCAGATGTGCCAAGTGTGGTTGTGGCCGTACCCAACTACAGTGTGTTGACAGGCAGTTCTGTCACTCTGGTATGTACAGTGACAGCCACGCCCTCTCATTCCTCAGTGCAGTGGATTAGGGTCGTCAATGGTGCCAACCAAGCTGTCAACATTGGAAATTCAGGAAAATATGAAGGATCATCTGTCAGCGTGCCATCTCTTACAATCAATGGAGCTCAGTCTAGTGATCAGGGCCAATATGTCTGTACCGCAACTAACTCTGTGGGCACTGGACAGAGTAGTGTCACTACACTGTCTGTCACTGGTAGTAAGTATCTATACTGTAGGGTGCCAGATCAAAACCGTTTGCCTCAGGAAGTTGGGTAGGATATCTATGAAGGATTGAAGTGGAGATAGATAGGGTATCTATGTGGGATGTGATGGGGTTGGGAAAAGTATTTATGTTGGATGGTGTATCTATGTGGGATGGGGTGGGAACTGAAAGGGTGTTTATGTTTGATGGGGTGGGGAAGGATGGTGTATCTATGTGGGATGGGAAGGCGATGGGCTAGTTATCTATGTTTGATAGGAGGTGGGGTGGAGTATCTATGTTTGATGGGAGGTGGGGTGGAGTATCTATATTTGATGGGAGGTGGGGTGGAGTATCTATGTTTGATGGGAGGTGGGGTGGAGTATCTATGTTTGATGGGAGGTGGGGTGGAGTATCTTTGTTTGATGGGAGGTGGGGTGGAGTATCTATGTTTGATGGGAGGTGGGGTGGAGTATCTATGTTTGATGGGGAGGAGTTGTTGTGGTATATGTATGGGAGGGGAAGGGGTTGGGCAAGGCATCTCTTTGGGATGGGGTGAAGATGAATGGGGTATCTATGTGGGATGGATGGGATGTCTATATGGGATGGGTGTGGTATCTATATGGGATGGAAAGGGTATATATGTGGGGAGAGGTGGATATGGGAGGGATATCTATGTTGGTAGGGGTGAAAGATGGGTCGGTTATCTATGTTAGATGGATGGAGTAGATTTGTGGGATGGGGTGGAGATGAATGGGGTATCTATCTGGGATGTGTGGGATATCTATGTGGAGAGGGGTGGAGATTGGTCATTTATCTATGTGGGATGGGGGGGTATCTATGTGGGATGGGTGGAGTATCTATATGGGATGGGTTGGATATGGGTGGTTATCTATGTGGGATGGGTGGGGTATCTATGGTGGATGGGTTAGAGATGGGTGGTTATCTATGTGGGATGGGTTGAGTATCTATGTGGGATGGTTCGGGTATCTATGGTGAATGGGTTGGAGATGAGTGGGTTATCTATGTGGGATGGGTGGGGTGTCTATGTGGGATGGGTTGGAGATGGGTGGTTATCTAGGTGGGATGGGTTGGAGATGGGTTGTTATCAATGTGGGATGGGTTGGGTATCTATGTGGGATGGGTAGGGTAATTATGTGGGATGGATGGGGTATCTATATGGGATGGGTTGGAGATGGGTGGTTATCTATGTGGGATGGGTGGGGTATCTATGGTGGATGGGTTAGAGATGGGTGGTTATCTGTGGGATGGGTTGAGTATCTATGTGGGATGGGTGGGGTATCTATGGTGGTTATCTATGTGGGATGGGTTGGGTATCTATTTGGGATGGGTGGGGTATCTATGGTGAATGGGTTGGAGATGGGTGGGTTATCTATGTGGGATGGGTTGGAGATGGGTGGTTATCTATGTGGGATGGGTGGGGTATCTATATGGGATGGATTGGAGAAGGGTGGTTATCTATGTGGGATGGGTTGGAGATGGGTGGTTATCTATGTGGGATGGGTTGGGTATCTATGTGGGATGGGTGGGGTATCTATGTGGGATGGATGGGGTATCTATTTGGGATGGGGTGGAAATGGGTGGCTTATCTATGTGGGATGGGATGGAGATGAATGGCACATCTATGCGGCATGGGTGGGGTATGTATGTGGGGAGGGGTGGAGATGGGTGGAAATTGGTTGGTTATCTATGTGGGATGGATGGGGTATCTATGTCAGCAGGGGTGCAATTGAATTGGGTATCTAAGTGGGATTGGGTTGAGATGGGTGGAATATCTATATAGAATGGATGGGGTATCTATGTGGGATGGATGGTGTATCTATGTGGGATGGGGTGGAGATGGGTGGGTTATCTGTGTGGGATGGGTGAAGTATATATGTTGGTAGTGGTGAAGATGAATGGGGTACCTATGTGGGGAGGGGTGGAGATGGGTGGGTTATCTATGTGTCAGCTAATTCAGTCATGTTGACAATATAATTTCTGCTCAATTACTTCAACTCGTTGCATTTAAGTGCACTGGAATGGTCAGTCTCAGAAATTGCTAAACACTCCGTAGACAATCAACCAGTCACAGGAATTATTACCATTTTTTGTTCAGATTGACTTTTTTTTCCCAAAAAAACTGATATATGTTACTGTATTGAGGTGTATTATCAACATCAGTTCGTAATTTCAAAAATTTCAGACTAGTTTTGGAATTAACAATTTTGCTAGCCTTGAAGAGAATTTGACTTTATTTCCATCCAAGATGGACACCATGAACAACATGGAGACAGCAAGTTTTAAATGAACCATATTCCTGTCCCAAAATCTTTTTGATTTTATCCCATATCTTATTATTTTTCTTTCTTCTTCTGCTTTTTCCTGTAAAATTTTCTGACTCTTCTTTCCAATACTGAAGGTTGGATATTTATCAGTCTTTTAGAGATTAATACAGATGATCTCTTTATGTGCAAACAATTTCTGTTTTTTTCATTGGCTAGTACCTTTACATCTGTAAGTTTTCTTGTATTCAGCACATTGAGATGATAATTGATGAGAATTACAACTATACAACATTTTCTAATAAAAAAAATGACGTCACCAAAATGGTTGCCTAATGGAGACTTCTTATCAATCAGAACTAAGATGTTGTTCAATTTTAGTGAAATTTGGTATAGGTGTAGTGTAACATCTAAAATAGGATTGTTGTGTTGACTGTCTTCTTCAGATTCACTTGGGACAAATTAACCTCCCAGGGATTAGATGAAAATATAATTTTTGGCCGGGTTGCACATAGTGCAAATGCGGGTTATAGTATGGTGAATGTTGGGCGGGCGGGCGAGGAAAAGGGGTACCAGTTTTGTAGAATCAACTCCTCCTCGAGTTTTTGACATAGAAGCTTGAAACTTTGTAGGATGTTTATATATATGTTGAAGATGTGCACTTCCTATTATGGATTCATTCTGGGCATTTTTCTGGATTTTCCGGGCTTTGGAACTTAGCCATTTTCCGTAAATACCATATAACATTGCACTCATCTCGCTTCCTTGCCAGTTGTGGCTTTACCCCATTTTCATAGGTGTATGTCAGGATTCACTGCCTGTGTCAAGCTTATTGTTTGAAATGTGCAGACTTCCTGCCTTTACTTAGTTCATTAGTAAGCATCTTTCACAACTGGGGAGGTACAATAACAATTCATACTTGAATTTATTAACATTATTTTTTGGCTTTCTCAGGTCTTCCTGTGGTCACTGTGGCCCAGCCTAACTACTCGGTCATTATCGGTAATGCAGTCACGCTGGTGTGCACTATCAATGCTTCTCCAGCAGCCAGTACTGTATCATGGAGACGTCTGGTGGGCGGTGTATCCACTGGTATCAGCATTGGCAGCAGCAAGTACTCAGGAAGTGTTATCGGAAATCCTTCCTTAACTATAAATGATGCCCAGAACAGTGATGAAGGCTTCTACATTTGTCAGGCAACCAATGTTGTGGGCACAGGGGAAAGTAGCAACACCTATCTAGACGTAACAGGAAGTAAGTCACCACTTCATCCTGCACATGTACAGCTATTTCAATTTGTAAACTGTTACAAATAATTTTAACTTTCCCTTTTTTTCTGAAAGATTTCAGTTTCTATAAAATGAACTAGTTTTGATTACTGAAGATCAATATATAGATGTGATTGATGATGAAATGAAAATTTCTTTTGCCAGCCATCCCTGTTGTAACAATATCTCAGAACACATACTCTGTACTGCTGGGATTGTCTGTTACTATCGACTGTGCAGTGTCTGCTGTTCCCACTCACTCCTCTGTAGAATGGAGGAGAATTACAACTACTGGAGGCAACACTGTTTCCACACCGATTGTCATTGATAATATCAACTACAGTGGAGGTTCTGTGTCTAGTCCTAATCTCCAGGTGAACTCTGCTGAAAACAATGACGAGGGATTCTATGTGTGTACTGCCACAAACAGTGTAGGCACTGGTACCAGTAATCAGGCATTCCTGTCTGTCACTGGAGGTAAGTTACCATAGTAATCAGACACATTTCTGTCACTGGAGGTAAGTTACCATAGTAACCAGACATTGCTGTCTGTCACTGGAGGTAAGTTATCATAGTAACCAGGCACACATTTCTGTCACTGGAGGTAAGTTACCATAGTAACCAGACGTTGCTGTCTGTCACTGGAGGTAAGTTACTATAGTAACCAGACATTGCTGTCTGTCACTGGAGGTAAGTTACCATAGTAACCAGATGTTGCAGTCTGTCACTGTCTGCCTATCTGTTCAACTGTACAATGACAATGTACATGCTACTCCTTCTAAATGACCAAATGGATTTCAGCAATACTTGCCTGCTGTTATCCTTATACATTGTAGATGTGTGTATTTTATAAGAGGTTGAGTTATCTCCCCTTTTCAAAAACTTATGCCTTTTTGGGTACTTAACAATGTACTTAAACTACTGAATGGATTTATTTCTTTTTTATTTTTGTGTTTGTGTGATCTATATCAGTGTTTTATGATATGTATTTTACACATGTAAACAGACATTTCCTAGTCAGGTGACAGGTTAAAAAACACTGTGACATCAATCTTCTGTAAATACCATGAGAGTGGAATCTGACTTGAATATATATTTTTTATTAATATAGTCAAATACCCTGTGTATCAGTTATTCTGTTTGTCCAAGATGTGACAAAGTTTGAAGCTAGGCACCACTTTTCTATTGGCAGGGTTTTAACATATTTGTAAAACTCTATGTAGTTGTTCAATCACCAAACCTGCTATACATGTATATGAAGGGGCTACGTGTAAACAAGACCATCCCAGCATATGGTTTTAATCTTAATTTTATGTTTATTAGATTGGTTAATTAATTTACAATATTTAAGTTTACTGTTTAGCTCAGTGGTGAGCTATTTTTTCTCTATCATAATCAAACCTGATGTATGCTTTTTATCTATGTATGGTCATGCCAACACACATTTTAGATTCTGAATTTAAGCTGCAATTGGCCATTAATTTAACCAAATATTGTATTGAGTTTGTATCGAGTACAAGTGCAAGGCTCAAAACTAAACTTTGGTCAGTTGCGTGTAATAACTAACTGTAGTTGATCTATGGTACCGACAGATTTCATGACATACAGTTTTAGTTAGAATAAAGCAATACAATATTGAAAAAATGGAAAATATTTTTGGTTATTAGAACAATAAAGTGGAACCTATTAACTGTATCCTAATGATGTGGAGGAACTGGAACATAAAAAACATTGTTTGATTTCAGCTCCACCAACAGTAACAGTGGCACAGACAAGCTACACCATCATTACGGGAGGAACCATTACCCTTCAGTGTTCAGCGTTCGGTAATCCAGCTGTGACAAATGTTGCTTGGACAAGATCCATTAACAACGGACCATTCACAACCATCACTGTAGATGGCAACAGTTTCTCAGGGAGTTCTCTCAATAACCCATCCCTGACTGTCATCAATGCTGATAGCAACGACCTTGGCATCTACAAGTGTACAGCTTCAAACTCCCTTGGAACTTCAGAGAGTGATCAAGTCACTCTCACTGTTACTGGAGGTACACACTGTCTAAAGAAATCACAAAAAAACACATCATATTTATCTACTATTTCTTTATAATGTTTTCAGAGTCTCTAGATGTTTGACTTACAAGTAACTAGGTATGAGTGAAGTTATAAAGGAGTTAGATTCTGAATGTTTTGTCAGTAACTAGGTTTAAGTGAGGTTATAAAGGAGTTAGATTCTGAATGTTTTGTCAGTAACTAGGTATAAGTGAGGTTATAAAGGAGTTAGATTCTGAATGTTTTGTCAGTAACTAGGTATAAGTGAGGTTATAAAGGATTTTTTTGTTAGTAACTAGGTATAAGTGAGGTTATAAAGGAGTTAGATTCTGAATGTTTTGTCAGTAATTAGGTATGAGTGAGGTTATAAAGGATTTAGATTCTGTATGTAGACTAAATATGAAACACATGATCTGCATGGTGAAATATAGCACGGTGTATTAAATATCTGTCTAAGCCTTCAATGTTAACTTTACAGATCCTCCCACTGTTACTGTTGGACAGACCAGTTATAATATTATCACTGGTTCAGATGTTACCATCCAGTGTACAGTGACTGCTGTCCCTGCTGCAAGTGTTGTTTACTGGGAGAAAACAGTGAATGCTGCAACAACCAGACTCACCATTGACCAAATTGCATATGGTGGGTCAACCACTGCCACTCCTTCCCTTATTGTTTACAATGCACAGAATGATGATAGTGGCGTGTATAGGTGTAAAGCCAGTAATGCTGTAGGAACTGGACAGTCTCAGGCTGTAACTGTCTCGGTCACAGGAGGTAAGAAATTATTTCTCATTGACATCTGCACAGGCTAATTCTGGACAAAACCAATCAGGTTTACAGGGGCATCTAGGGCTAACCATGCATGGGCTAAATCAGTCAGGGTGACAACGGCTTGAGCTAATTCTGGGCTATACCAGTCAAGGTAACAGGGGCTTGGGCAAATCCTTGGCTAAAACATTCAGAGTTACAGGGGCTTTGGCAAATCCTGAGTTAAACCAGTCCAGGTTTGGGAGACACAGGATTATCCTGGACTAAACTCATCAGGGATACAAAGACACGGCTAATCCTGTGCTAAACCACTCAGGGTTACAAGAGTATCATGGACTTATCCTGAGCTAAACCTTTTAAGGTCATATAAGCATGGACTTATCCTGAGCTAAACCTTTTAAGGTTATAGGAGCATGGGCTAAACCTGAGCTAAACCTTTTAAGGTTATAGGAGCATGGGCTAAACCTGAGCTAAACCTTTTAAGGTCATATAAGCATGGACTTATCCTGAGCTAAACCTTTTAAGGTTATAGGAGCATGGGCTAAACCTGAGCTAAACCTTTTAAGGTTATAGGAGCATGGGCTAAACCTGAGCTAAACCTTTTAAGGTCATATAAGCATGGACTTATCCTGAGCTAAACCTTTTAAGGTTATAGGGGCATGGGCTTATCTTGAGCTAAACCAGTCAGGGTTACAAGGAAATTGGCTAATGCTGGGCTAAACCAGTCAAGAGTTATAGGGTTTTTTTGTTGGATGACAAACACTTTTTGCAGCAGTATATAGGAGTGACCTTCTTACCAGACACAGGGTCTTATTGACATATAATTATGGAATATCAAGCCATTGACAAGTCTGATCTCTGATACTATGTTTTATTATTGTCTACAGCGATACCAGTTGTCACTATTTCGGAAGCTTCATACACTGTCACTACTGGTACAACAGCCACTCTTGTATGTACTGTGGTAGCCACTCCACAGGCCTCTACTATCATCTGGAGAAAAACAGTCAATAGTGTGACAACCACTGTTCCTATCAACACTTCAAAGTACAGCGGAGGGACTGTGACTTCGCCAAGTCTGGTTATATCAAATGCTGATAGCAGTGATGTGGCTTTCTATGTCTGCCAGGCAACCAATGCTGTAGGAACTGGCACCAGTAGTCAGACCTACCTGGAAGTGACTGGAGGTAGGTTTTGTTAATGTCCTAGTCAATGTTACTTGGATAGCCACAGGTAACACTCCTGCAGGTAAGGTATACGTATGTATACACACACTAGGTGTGCATAAACAGTTTCTAGTGTTCAGTCCATTGTTCTCAATGTGTTTCTGTAAAAAGACTCTTTGTCCAAACTTTCACCCAAAAAGTCTTCACTGTATGTTTTAGCGATCCTCCAGACTGTTGTGTGCCAAAAAGTAGCATCTTACTCTCAAAAGAAATAGAACTATGTTGAAATCACAGAGCCCAAACAAAGACCGACTGACTAGGTCCTGATGACCTTGTCCTAGTGTTGAACTGTCAACTTTATCATACTCAATGTCCTGGTGTAATACTGACAACTTTATCATACGCAATGTCCTGATGTAATACTGTCAACTTTATCATACTCAATGTCCTGGTGTGATACTGACAACTTTATCATACGCAATGTCCTGATGTAATACTGTCAACTTTATCATACTCAATGTCCTGGTGTAATACTGACAACTTTATCATACTCAATGTCCCGGTGTAATACTGACAACTTTATCATACTCAATGTCCCGGTGTAATACTGACAACTTTATCATACTCAATGTCCTGGTGTAATACTGACAACTTTATCATACTCAATGTCCTGGTGTAATACTGACAACTTTATCATACTCAATGTCCTGGTGTAATACTGACAACTTTATCATACTCAATGTCCCGGTGTAATACTGACAACTTTATCATACGCAATGTCCTGATGTAATACTGTCAACTTTATCATACTCAATGTCCTGGTGTAATACTGACAACTTTATCATACTCATTGTCCTGGTGTAATACTGACAACTGTATTATACTCAATGTCCTGGTGTAATACTGTCAACTTTATCATACTCAATGTCCCGGTGTAATACTGTCAACTTTATCATACTCAATGTCCTGGTGTAATACTGACAACTTTATCATACTCAATGTCCCGGTGTAATACTGACAACTTTATCATACTCAATGTCCTGATATAATACTGACAACTTTATCATACTCAATGTCCTGGTGTTATACTGACAACTTTATCATACTCAATGTCCTGGTGTAATACTGATAACTTTATCATGCTCAATGTCCTGGTGTAATACTGACAACTTTATCATACTCAATGTCCCGGTGTAATACTGACAACTTTATCATACTCAATGTCCTTACTTTTCATAGTTTTCTTGTTTTACAGCATTACCTGTTGTTCAAGTGCTGCAGTCATTCTACACTGTCACAAAAGGCCAGTCAGTAACATTAGAATGTACAGTAAGTGGCACACCTGTCGCAACTTCTGTTTCCTGGGAACGAACCTCTGGAGGAGTGACAAATCCTGTTACTGTCGACAATAATCTGTATCAGGGGTCAGTTGTGGGTAGTCCTTCCTTGGTGATAACAGCAGCTGACAGTGTAGACACTGGAACCTATACCTGTACCGCCACAAACAGTGTGGGGACTGGCCGCAGTACCACAACCACATTGACTGTTACAGGAGGTCAGTATCCCTTAATATTCTTTTTAAAATTTGTTCTGATAAAGTAGCTTTAGAATTACCTAAAAAAATCAAACAAGCAAGCGTCAAGTATTTTGACGACAATGAATACAATCAGAAGTGAATCACAAGAATTCAGCAACAGCAAGACCCTGGAGGACTTGCACACTGATGTCTGTAACAGTTTTATTCTTAATTTAAGAAATCTCTGAGGGTTAGAATTGTATCAGAATATTCACACCTGTAGTGGTGATTAAATGCTGTCAGAAAATTTTGGTTGTTTAAGGGAAAAAAATGTAATGAAAGATATTTCTTTGTGGTTGAGAGCTGTATGTTCCCCACATGTATATATGTATAAGTATAAAGAAAAGCAGTGTGGTTGAGAGTTGAATGTTCCCCACATGTATATATTTCCATTCTTATTTGAAAAGGTGACCAGCATTGAAGGTGACATGTAGACATTTCTAGTTTCATGCCAACTTTTCTAAAAGCCCCTTTGTTGTAAAAGGCCCCTTGTCATGTTTAGCTGATTGTTGGTCAGTATCAATGGTCAATTCACATTTGACAACTTAAATTCATCAAAGAGTGACTCTGATGTGCATGAAATGGGGATGAGGTTGAGAAAATAACTTGTTTGCAGACAATGTCTAGTTTCTGGTATTCTGTCCTGAGTAGATGTTTAGATATGTTGACAATGATATTTAAAAAAGTCTACTATGCCATGATTAAACTTTGTTATGTTTGAACAGGTACATTAATATGCTTGTCCATTAGGTTGAAAATGGCTGCTGTAATTCAAAATTGTTTATATTGGAATTCCTTACAGATATACCAACGGTGGCGATCACTGACCCCTCTTACACAGTTGTCACTGGATTCTCCATCACCATCCCTTGTACTGTATCAGCTAACCCTCCAGCTACCTTAGTAACCTGGTCCAGACAGGCTTCTATCAACGATGCCGCAACCACCATCAATATTGACGGTACCACGTACAGCGGTGGTACTATCGGTATACCCTCACTGACCATCTCCAGTGCTGCCTCAACAGACCAGGGATACTATATTTGTTCTGCAACGAACAGCATTGGCACAGGAACCAGCGGACAAAGTTATCTCACCATTACTGGAGGTAAAGCACAGATCTTACAATATAATCAAGCTTTAATGTAGAGTGTGAACCTTTTAGGTCACCTGGAACAATGTGACCTCTTGTAGCCACCTTTTGTCCCATGTTGTGCATCCACAGACTTTTAACATTTTCAACATCTTCTCAAACACCCCTGGACCGATTTCAAGGAAATTTTGCAGATATCTTTCCTGATCAAAGATAAACTAAAAAAGCAAGTTATATATGGTCCACATCCTCCATGGGCCTAAGGGTTGGTTAAAGGTTAAATTTCAAAACTTGTCTTCTTAACGTCCAGGTATGGTAGAATCAAATGCTTTTCATGAATGGAAGGTTCTTAAGGTGCTTTACTAAAATTGTGAATTTCATGATAAGAAAAGTAGTTTGTACTAGAGCATAATCTATTAAATTTTCACTGGAAACATTTCAAATTTGGGTGATGACTTGATGGTATGCCATATTGAGCTTAGCTGACCCCCAGGAGCTGTAGGTGGGGCTAAAAGTGGTAAATTTGACTTCGATTTCAAAAATCCTCTTTTCAACACTCATATCTGGTATAATCAAAGGCTGTTCCTGGATGGAAATCTCATAAGTTGCTTAACCAATATTGTGAATTTCATGATTCCAAGATCTCACACTTCCCTCTGGGGAGGGGATAAATGTTGCTATAATTTACATAAGAAAAGTAATTATTTGAGCATAATTTGTTTAATTTCCATTGGAAATAACTTGGTAAGAACTATTAGTATATGATGACAGTTTTGATGGTATGCATATATTACACTGGCTGACCCTGAAGGGCTTAAAACATACCAGTTATTAGCTCACCTTGCCCAAAGCGCCAAGTGAGCTTATGTCATACCGTGGCTTCCGTCGTCCATCTGTCTATCCATGTCTGTCCATCCTGCGTCCATCAACTTTTCATTTAAACAACTTCTTCTGAAACACCAAAAGGCGTGGAGTTATCATATTTGGCTGGAAGGTTCCTCAGATGAAACTGGACAAAGTTTGCAAAAAGAAATGACCTTGACCAATATTCAAGGTCACAGAGGTCAAATGTGTTAAAACATCTAAACGACTTCTTTCAAAATACCGGAAGACCTAGAATCATTATATTTGGCTGGAAGGTTCCTTTCATAAAGCCCAACAAAGTTTGCAAAGAAAAATGATCTTGACCCATATTCAAGGTCACAGTGGTCAGATGTGTTAAAAAATTTAAGCGACTTCTTCCAAAATATCAGGAGGCGTAGAATCATCATATATGGCTATAAGATACCTTTGATGAAGCCCAACAAAGTTTGCGAAAAGAAATGACCTTGACCCATATTCAAGATCACAGAGGTCAAATGTGTTAAAACATTTAAATGACTTCTCCCTAAATACCGAAGTCCTAGAATCATTATATTAGACTACTATGTCCCTCTTATGGTGTCCTACAAAGTTTGCTAAAAGAAATGACCTTGACCAATCTTCAAGGTTACAGGGGTCAAATGTGTTAAAATGTTTAAACAATTTCTTATGAATATAGAAAAGTCTAGAATCATTATATTTGGCCTGTATGTTCCTTTTATGAAGTCCAAGAAAGTTTGCAAAAAGAAATTACCTTGCCCCATAGTCAAGGTCACAGGGGTCAAATGTGTTAAACCTTTAAGTTACATTTTCTGATGATCAAAAACATCTGGGATAGTGATATTATTCCAAAATAGGTTCTCAATGATGCCCAGTAATATTTGAGAAAAATAGATTAGGCCAAGCCCTCTGGAGGTCTGAGAGGCTTGAGCTAGGTAATGTGAAAAACTACATGTTAGCCAATTACTTATGTTCTATTCACAGCATCAAGATACAGAAAACATGATTGGAAAGAGAATTGCAAGAGCTTCATTTTGATTTAAGATTCTTCATAATTATAGCATAAATAGATAAGAAAATCTAAGTTGATCTCATTTGCTATGCAGTATTTATAGGCCTACAATAAACTGATATCTCCAGTAACCGGGGCTTAACTGACCATGGTGACATCACTAATGATATGCATGAAATGTTTTTTAATTGGTTTTGAGTTAGGATTATGGTTTATAATTACATGTACCTTAATTTTTCCTGTCCTTTTATTTAATTTTTGCTAAATATTGCTGACTTGTGCAAGTCTCTAATATGTTGTATCTGTGTTTGTAAACAATGATCTAAAGGGCAAGTAAACTTCTGCTGTCCTGGGTCATCCGTCCAGGTATAACTAAGAGTTTTTCTGCTATATTGTTTGACCATCTTTGTTATATATGGGGGGTGAGAACACAGCCACCACAAACCAGAACAACACCATGTGTACAGTATAACCAGAACGAGGCTTTATTCGAGTCACGTATCAACACACTAACAATCATGGCACACACTAAAGTACGGACTAGCTATCCGGACATAACACATCCTACCCTTTTAAACTGTTACTGGTAATATAGATTTACACGAAAACTGTTACTATTCATAATCAGATTTAGCCAGTCTCTAGACATTACTGATTTATGTAAACGTCCATGAAGGATGTCTGTCAATTACACAAATTATAAGTATTACATATCTATAAATACTATCTGCATCCCAGAAATAAGAATGACTATGTATGGGGCACAAAGTTAACCAACATATAGAGCAAGGAAGAACCCTTAGGGTTCGATGGATTATCCGGGGATTATTATGCCCCAAGAACACTGACAATTCATCACAGATTTAGCTTGATAGGAGCACGTCGATCTCTAAGTGGATAACGACGTCTTGGCATTGCACTATCTTTAGATTCTGTCTGTCTTTGTGTACCCTCACTATTTCCTGAATTCACCGTTTTGGATCCTTTTCCAACATTAGGAGTTCCATGTGCAGGTGTTCCCTCACTAACATTTACCACATCTGACGTAGCAGTGTTCTTTCCAGAGACGTCCTCCTCGTCCCTCACAGAATGATCCTGAGGTATTTGAGACACAGGTGTACAACTAGTTCTAGCTAATTGATCAGCATGTCGACGCCATACATGATCATTGACCTTGACCTTGTATGATACTGGACCTCTATGTAACTGCACCCTACCACAAGCCCATTTGTCACCTCCACGGTAGTCACGTACATCACAGAATCACCATCGTTGAATGACCTTGTAGCTGACGTGTTCCTAGAACACATGTTCTCCTGCAAAATCCTTACTGTCTCAGTCAGGTTAGGTTTCAGTAAGTCTAGATGGGTGTGTAAGGGTCGTCCCATAAACAACATAGCTAGAGATTCTTGGGTAGAAGAATGTACAGTGTTCCTGTACGCCAGAAGAAAGTTGGAAAGTTTCTTCTGTAACGAATCGTCGTCATTCTTTGAAGATTTCATGGCTTGTTTGAATGTCTGCACAAACTGTTCCGCAAGGCCGTTAGTGCGGGGATGAAATGGTGCAGAAGTGATGTGACGAATGCCATTTGTGGTAGTGAATTCTGCAAATTCCTGAGAAGTGAATTGTGGACCGTTATCGCTTACGATCTGTTCTGGTATTCCAGTTCTAGCAAACACTCCTCGTAGTTTGTCAATGGTGCGCATGACGGTAGTAGACTGCATTGGCACAACTTCCGGCCATTTGGAACGCGCATCTACTATCATCAGAAACATACTTCCAAGAAAAGGGCCAGCAAAGTCTATATGAATTCTCTGCCATGTCCTCATGGGGAATTCCCAAGGGTGAACTGGGGCCTCTTTGGGAGTATTTCTGTTAACTTGACAGCCTGGACATTTCTTCGATATGCTCTCTATTTCCAAATCAATTCCTGGCCACCATATGTAGCTTCTTGCCAATGACTTCATCTTGACATCTCCAAGATGTCCAGTATGAGCTTCATCCAATACCTCTTTGCGAAGTTTCTCAGGGATAATCACCCGAATACCCCATAGCAAGCATCCCTGGTGAACAGTTATTTCGTTCCTCCGTTCGTAAAATGTTTGTAATTTCTTATCGTCAGGTTTGTTCCAGCCACGCATAGCAGCATCATACACGACTGTGGGTACTGAATCTCTGGAGGTTTCCTTTCTCAGCTGACTTGATGTCACGGGTAGGTGTTCCATTTGTGACACCTGGAATATGTGTGCTTCATCCATGATATCTATGATATGATACCTCATTATCTGTGGTGCGGATTTTGGAGTTCTGTGGCATGCGGGAAAGTCCGTCTGCATCACCGTGCAATTTGATATTTCTGTATCTGATGGAATAATCATATCCAGATAAAAATATGGCGTATCGCTGAAGACGCGATGAGCTTGTCACGGAGATGCCCTTCTGCGGACTGAAAATTGAGACAAGAGGTTGGTGATCGGTGATCAATGTAAAGTTCCTGCCATAGAGATAAACATTGAATCTCTTGATTCCCCACACAATGCCCAGGGCCTCTGTATCAATCTGTGAATAGTTCTTTTCAGCATTGTGAAAGACCTTGATGCGTAAGCCACGGGTCGTTCTGTACCATCTGGAAATTTATGAGACAACACCGCTCCCAATCCGAAGGGAGATGCGTCACATGACAATGTCAATGGTAACTTGGGGTCATAGTGTGCCAACACTTGGTCTGATACCATCATACTTTTCACTTTGTTGAACGCCTGTTGACATTTGGTTGTCCATTTCCAAGGTACATTTTTCTCAAGAAGATGATGTAGTGGTTTTAATACCATAGACAGGTTTTCCATGAATTTCCCATAGTAGTTCACTAGACCAAGGAACACGCGTAGGTGGGTTACATTCTCTGGTCGCACCGCATTCACCACAGCCTCAATTTTGTCTAGAGTTTTATGTAGACCATTGTCATCTATAACATGTCCGCAAAATTGTATCTTGTCTTGGAAAATGTTACATTTATCCAAGTTGGCCTTGAGACCTGATCTCTGTAAACGTAACAGTACTGCTTCCAGGTTCTGTAGATGTTCCTCTGTCATACGCCCAGTAATGATCATATCATCTAAGATACACTGTGTTCCTTTGGTTCCTTGCAATACCTGATCCATGGCCATTTGCCAGATGGCAGGTGCTGAGGCCACACCGAATACTAGACGATTGTATCTGAAAAGACCACGGTGTGTATTTGTTGTGAGGTACTTTTTATGATCATCTTCTACCTCCATTTGTAGATAGGCATGGCGTAAATCTAACTTTGTGAAGTGTTTCCCTCCAGCAAGGTTAGCAAATATATCCTCAATCTTTGGTAAAGGATACTTGTCAATCTGTAATACAGGGTTAATTGTAGTTTTAAAGTCACCACACAACCTGATTGTTCCATCCCTTTTTGGAACCGCCACAATTGACGTAGCCCACTCACTATGATCCACAGGTTCTAAGATTCCTAATTCAACTAAGCGATCCAGTTCCTATTCTACAGCAGGCCGTAAGGAATATGCCAAGGGTCTGGCCTTTAAGAATTTTAGAATACAGCCTTCGTTGAGATTTAAGTGTGCTTTAATGTCCTTAAGAGTTCCTAAGGATTCATCGAAGACTTCCGAGTACTTGTCTACAATATCTTTCACATCCTTAGTAGGAATAGATAATTTGACCTTTGCTTCCGTCACTGCATGTATTTCGGCCCAATCTAGGCGTATGGAGCAAAGCAAGCTGCGTCCAAATAATGGAGGGCCTCCCTTCTCTATTACGTATAAGGGGAGACAACTCCTCTGTCCATTTAGCTCCACATGCACATCCAACTTCCCACATGGAGTGATAGGTTCACCTGAATATGTTTTAAGTTTGACGGCTGTAGGCTCTAAGGCAACCTTCCCAAAATGTTCCTCAAAATCCTGCTGTGACATCACAGAAACCTCCGAACCGGTGTCTAATTCCATGCGAAGTAACTTATTGTCCACTTGTGGACTAACCGAGAATGGTTCAGCTTTTCTTGGACCACCAATCAAGTAGATTTCCATATGTCCAATGAGACCATCTTCACTAACATTGTGGACTTTTCTATATGGCTTATTCCATGTTTTACTGCTTGCCGCTGCTTTGTTTTTATCCTGTGGACAGGCCTTCTGTATGTGACCTATTTTCCCACATTTCCTACATTTCTCTGACTTGTAGAAACAATCCTGTGCATCATGACCCGTTCGTAGACAACGATAGCACGGTTTAGAGTTTGACTTCACAGGTATTTTTACAGTTCTATTTACCTTGGGCTTCACACTGGTACTGTGTACTGGTTTATGTTTCGCTTGCAGTTCCACCGCATCTCTACTAGCCGTATCCATAGCTATGGCAACATCAACTGCTTTCTCAAAAGTTAAATCTTTCATGGAAAGAAATTTACGCTGAATGTTTTCATTTACCAGGCCACACACAAATCTGTCACGAAGTGCGTCGTTCAGTACATTACCAAATTCACAGTGTTCAGAAAATTTCCTAAGCTGGGCCACATATTCACGTACACCCTCGCCCTCTTTCTGATCACGTTTGTAGAACCTAAATCTCTCTGCTATTAACAAGGGTTTAGGAGATAGATGTCTGGATAATGTCTCTACCAGATCTCCATATGTTTTCGTTCCCGGTTTATCTGGGGCTGTAAGATCTCGTAGTATGCTGTATGTACGACTGCCTATTACGCTAAGCAATGTCGGGACTTTAGTTTCTTCCTTTATCTCATTTGCGAGGAAATATTGTTCCAATCACTCACTATATGAGTCCCATGTTTCAATTGTTTCATCAAATGGCTCCAGCGTTCCTATCTTACTATACTCACTATATGAGTCCCATGTTTCAATTGCTTCATCAAATGGCTCCAGCGTTCCTATCTTGGTCTTGGCCGCCATTTTGTTTTGAAACTTTCCTTCTCGATCTACGATAAATCGGGTTAAGCAGGCCTACCTTACGGTTCCGACAACTTACAGTCGTTTCGTGTCTGTACATACAGTTCACAGATTAGGGGGCTGACTACTAAAGGACAGAACCTATATGGAGTTATTTGTCATATTGCTTTAAGCATCTACTGTGGAACATATGCACAGATTTAGTACTGTTGGTCATAAAGATCCAGGTGAGCGATACAAGCCCTCTGGGCATCTTGTATCTTATCAATGTCACAATTTCTTTTTCATGACACTTGAAAGCTTCTTACTCAAAAAACTTTATATTCAATGTTGCTTATCTCTGGTGACCATCAAGGCCACTAGGTGTTTTGTTTTTTTATAAGGTCATCTGACCTGAAGGGTCAGGATGTCCTATGGCCATCGTGTTTCGTATGTCTTTGTCCACTGTCTGCCATGGGTAAACTTTCCATTCAAATGACTTCTCCTCAATAACCAGAAAGCTCATATTGGGCATGTAGCATGATGGGATAAAGAGCTAACAAGTTTGTTATCATGAATGACCTTGACCTATTTTCAAGGCCACAGGGTTAAAAAATGTTCAACTCTTTAAACAACTTTTTTTCAATAACCAAAAGGCCCAAGGTATTGATATTTGGCCTGTAAAATGATGAGAGTTTGTTAATATAAATGACAATGACCCGCTTTCAAGACCACTGGGGTCAAATATGTTAATGTGTAAGAGAATTCTTATCAACAACCAAAGATCTAGGGTGTTGATATTGGGCTGGCAGCATGACTGGATGAAGGACTACCAAGATTGTTAATGAGAATGACCTTGACCGCCTTTGAAGGTCACAGGGTCAAATGTGTTAAAATGTTTTAAACACCTCTTTTCAATACCCAAAAGGTCCAGGGTGCTGAAATTGGGCCTGTAGCATGATGGGATAAAGAGCTGCCAAGTTTATGAATATGAATAACCTTAACCTTCTTTCAAGGTCACGGGGGTCAAATATGTTAAAATGTTTAAACTACTTCTTCTCAATAACCAAAAGGCCTAGGGTACTGATATTAGGCCTCTAGCATGCATGAAGGAAGGGGTAAAACGTTTTATATGAATGACCTTGACTTGCTTTGAAGGTCACAATGGTCAAATATGTTAAATTGATTAAACAACTTCTTCTCAATAAGCAAAAGGCCAAGGGTACAAATATTTGACCTGTAGCATGCTTGGTTGAAGGGCTACAACGTTTGTATAAATCAATTACCTTGACCTGCTTTAAAGGTCACAGGGGTAAAATATGTTGAAATCTCAAAATGATTTCTAAATTACCAAAAGGTTGAGAGTGCTGATATTGGGCCTGTAGCATGCTTGGATGAAGGGCTACCAAGTTTGTTCACCTTGACCTACTCTGAAGGTCACACGGGTCAAATGTGTTGAAATGTGTAAGCAACTTCTTCCCAATAACAGTATTGATATTGGGCCTGCAGCATGTTTTTGCAACAATATGTCCAAAGTTATGTCTTTATAAACAAATCAATGTCTTCTGTGTAAGCTGTAGTAAAGTTGAGCAATTTATTTTAGGCCTTTTTGGCCTCTTACTCTGTATTACATGCCATTTTGATTTGCATGTTAAGATTAGCAGCTACAGGTATAGAAAATACTTGAAACTACAAGGCTGTTTTGATGACAGTTTAGCACACCTGGTCCATAGGACTGCTGAGGTTATGCCATGGCGTCTGTTGTCTGTCTGTCAACTTTTTCTACAAATTGGCACTAGTCAACAACTTACGGTGTCTTGACAGAATTGGGTCAGAAGCATTCTTTGGGGAAGGGGAACATATTTTGTGTAAATGGTTTGTTCCAGGTTCGGGTCTTAGTTGGTCATAACCATATATAGCATTGCTTGGCAATAAGAGATCAACACATTCATGATGTAAGAATTGGCCCTTGGGTGTGAAACACCTCAAAGGACATAATTTCTAGGTGATATTTTTGACATAGTTGAGATACCAACCTGATAACCATATAATCTCTTACTGGGCATCAAAAGAGAAAAACTGTGAGGATATAAGAATTTACCCATTGTTCTTGTCCTAACAAAGAGCTTAAGTAACTCAGCTTTAGTTCGGAAATATTTGAAATACTCAACCTTTAGGCATGTATACCATTGCTGGGCTTTAAGATCCAGATGAGCAATATAGGCCCTATTGGCCTCTTGTTTTAATATTCAGTCTGCTGTATGAAGAAATAAGAATACATTAGTTCTCAGAAATGATATAACATTATTTTTCAGACATACCAACTGTAACAATCCCATCCAATGCCTACTCTGTCATAACTGGATCATCCATCCAGATCCCGTGTTCTGTTCAGTCCAGTCCTCAAGCTAGCCGCATCACTTGGTCAAAGATTGTCACTACTGGTGGAAACACTGTCACCACCGACATCAACATTGATGGCTCCAAGTATCAGGGCAGCTCCACAAGTACCCCAAGTCTTACAATCAACAACGCCAACAACAACGATCAAGCCTATTATGTCTGCTCAGCCACCAACAGTGTGGGCTCTGCGAACAGTATCCAAACTTTCCTGACAGTATCAGGAAGTAAGTACCCTAATATGTCTGCTCAGCCACCAACAGTGTGGGCTCTGCGAACAGTATCTAAACTTTCCTGACAGTGCCTGGTGAATTCCAATTTCAAATGTAAATTCTCAGTTCTTCAGTTCTTTGGTAAAGTTAGAGGAAATGTAACCATGTCTGTATGTTTCAGTGTCTATGTGAGTCACCATGTTCATATTTTTTAGTGTCTGTATGAGTCAGTGTCTATGTGAGTCACCATGTCTGTATGTTTCAGTGTCTATATGAGTCACCATGTTTATGTTTTAGTGTCTGTATGAGTCACGATGTCTGTATTTTTCAGTGTCTGTATGAGTCACCATGTCTGTATGTTTCAGTGTCTATATGAGTCACCATGTTTGTATGTTTCAGTGTCTATATGAGTCACCATGTTTATGTTTCAGTGTCTATATGAGTCACCGTGTTTATATGTTCTAGTGTCTGTATGAGTCAGTGTCTGTATGAGACATCATGTCTGTATGTTTCAGTGTCTATGTGAGTCACCATGTTTGTATGTTTCAGTGTCTATGTGAGTCACCATGTCTGTATGAGTCAGTGTCTGCATGAGTCACCATGTCTGTATAAGTCACCATGTTTATGTTTTAGTGTCTGTATGAGTCACGATGTCTGTATTTTTCAGTGTCTGTATGAGTCACCATGTCTGTATGTTTCAGTGTCTATATGAGTCACCATGTTCATATTTTTTAGTGTCTGTATGAGTCAGTGTCTGTATGAGTCACCATGTCTGTGTGTTTCAGTGTCTATGTAATTCACCATGTTTGTATGTTTCAGTGTCTATGTGAGTCACCATGTCTGTATGAGTCAGTGTCTGCATGAGTCACCATGTCAGTATGTTCAGTGTCTATATGAGTCACCATGTCTGTATGAGTCACCATGTTTATATGTTTCAATGTCTATATGAGTCACCATGTTTATATGTTTCAGTGTCTATATGAGTCACCGTGTTTATATGTTTTAGTGTCTGTATGAGTCACCATGTCTATATGTTTCAGTGTCTATATGAATCACCATGTCTGTATGAGTCACCATGTCAGTATATTTCAGTGTCTATATGAGTCTTCATGTCTGTATGAGTCTCCATGTTGATATGCTTCAGTGTCTATATGAGTCACCACGTTTATATTTTTTAGTATCTGTATGGGTCAGTGTCTATGTAAGTCACCATGTTCATATTTTTTAGTGTCTGTATGAGTCAGTGTCTGTATGAGTCACCATGTCTGTATGTTTCAGTGTGTATGTGAGTCACCATGTTCATATTTTGTAGTGTCTGTATTTTTCAGTGTCTGTATGAGTCATCATGTCAGTATGTTTCAGTGTCTATATGAGTCACCATGACTGTATGAGTCACCATGTTTATATGTTTCAGTGTCTATATGAGTCACCGTGTTTATATGTTTTAGTGTCTGTATGAGTCACGATGTCTATATTTTTCAGTGTCTATATGAGTCATCATGTTTATGTTTTAGTGTCTGTATGCGTCAGTGTCTGTATTAGTCACCATGTCTGTATTAGTCACCATGTCTGTATGTGCCAGTGTCTATGTGAGTCACTATGTTTGTATGATTCAGTGTCTGTATGAGTCACAATGTTTATATTTTAGTGTCTTCATGAGTCACGATGTCTGTATTTTTCAGTGTCTGTATGAGTCACCATGTCTGTATGTTTCAGTGTCTATATGAGTCATCATGTTTATGTTTTAGTGTCTGTATGAGTCACGATGTCTGTATTTTTCAGTGTCTATGTGAGTCACCATGTTCATATTTTTTAGTGTCTGTTTGAGTCAGCGAATGTATGAGTCATCATGTCTGTATGTTTCAGTGTCTATATGAGTCACCATGTCTGTATGAGTAACCATGTCTGTATGAGTCAGTGTCTGTATGAGTCATCATGTCTGTATGTTTCAGTGTCTATATGAGTCACCATGTCTGTATGAGTCACCTTGTTTATGTTTTAGTGTCTGTATGAGTCACAATGTCTGTATTTTTCAGTGTCTGTATGTGTCACCATGTCTGTATGTTTCAGTGTCTATATGAGTCACCATGTTCATATTTTTTAGTGTCTGTATGAGTCAGTGTCTGTATGAGTCACCATGTTTATGTTTTAGTGTCTGTATGAGTCACCATGTCTGTATGTTTCAGTGTCTATGTAAGTCACCATGTTTGTATGTTTCAATGTCTATATGAGTCACCATGTTTATATGTTTCAGTGTCTATATGAGTCACCATGTTTATATGTTTTAGTGTCTGTATGAGTCACCATGTCTATATGTTTCAGTGTCTATATGAGTCACCATGTTTATATTTTTTAGTGTCTGTATGAGTCAGTGTCTGTATGAGTCACCATGTTTATATTTTAGTGTCTTCATGAGTCACGTTGTCTGTATTTTTCAGTGTCTGTATGAGTCACCTTGTCTGTATGTTTCAGTGTCTATATGAGTCATCATGTTTATGTTTTAGTGTCTGTATGAGTCACGATGTCTGTATTTTTCAGTGTCTATATGAGTCATCATGTTTATATTTTTTAGTGTCTGTATGAGTCAGTGTCTGTATGAGTCACCATGTCTGTATGTTTCAGTGTCTATGTAAGTCACCATGTTTGTATGTTTCAGTGTCTATGTGAGTCACCATGTTCATATTTTTTAGTGTCTGTATGAGTCAGCGAATGTATGAGTCATCATGTCTGTATGTTTCAGTGTCTATATGAGTCACCATGTCTGTATGAGTCACCATGTCTGTATGAGTCACCATGTCTGTATGAGTCAGTGTCTGTATGAGTCAACATGTTTATATGTTTCAGTGTCTGTATGAGTCAGTGTCTGTATGAGTCACAATGTCTGTGTGTTTCAGTGTCTATATGAGTCACCATGACTGTATGAGTCACCATGTCTGTATGTTTCAGTGTCTATGTGAGTCACCACGTTTATATTTTTTAGTGTCTGTTTGAGTCAGTGTCTGTATGAGTCACAATGTCTGTGTGTTTCAGTGTCTATATGAGTCACCATGATTGTATGAGTCACCATGTCTGTATGTTTCAGTGTCTATGTGAGTCACCACGTTTATATTTTTTAGTGTCTGTTTGAGTCAGTGTCTGTATGAGTCACAATGTCTGTGTGTTTCAGTGTCTATATGAGTCACCATATCTGTATGAGTCACCATGTCTGTATGAGTCAGTGTCTGTATGACTCATCATGTCTGTATGTTTCAGTGTCTATGTGAGTCACCACATTTATATTTTTTAGTGTCTGTATGAGTCAGTGTCTGTATGAGTCACAATGTCTGTGTGTTTCAGTGTCTATATGAGTCACCATGACTGTATGAGTCACCATGTCTGTATGTTTCAGTGTCTATGTGAGTCACCACGTTTATATTTTTTAGTGTCTGTTTGAGTCAGTGTCTGTATGAGTCACAATGTCTGTGTGTTTCAGTGTCTATGTGAGTCACCACATTTATATTTTTTAGTGTCTGTATGAGTCAGTGTCTGTATGAGTCATCATGTCTGTATGTTTCAGTGTCTATGTGAGTCACCACATTTATATTTTTTAGTGTCTGTATGAGTCAGTGTCTGTATGAGTCACAATGTCTGTGTGTTTCAGTGTCTATATGAGTCACCATGACTGTATGAGTCAACATGTTTATATGTTTCAGTGTCTATGTGAGTCACCACATTTATATTTTTTAGTGTCTGCATGAGTCAGTGTCTGTATGAGTCACAATGTCTGTGTGTTTCAGTGTCTATATGAGTCACCATGACTGTATGAGTCACCATGTCTGTATGTTTCAGTGTCTATGTGAGTCACCACGTTTATATTTTTTAGTGTCTGTTTGAGTCAGTGTCTGTATGAGTCACAATGTCTATGTGTTTCAGTGTCTATGTAAGTCAACATGTTTCTATGTTTCATTATCTTTATGAGTCACCTACTTTGTATATCCCAGAGTCTATATATGAGTCAACATGTAGTCATTGGTTTAATATCTTGATGAATCTTACATTGCTGATGCAAGTAAAGTACATTACTTTTTTTGAAGCCTTTATTCTCAGTCTTTGGAAAAGGTTGTGCAGTTAAAAGTAGGTAAACTGAAAATGAAGACAAAATTTCGTCAAAACTGGCATTAACATGAATACAACACTATGATACTTGTAGGTATCCCCCAGGTGACATTAGCACCAGAATTCTCCACTGTGCTGGGGTCTTCCATTACCTTAGACTGTGTCGTGTCTGCCACACCGCAAGCTGATTCTATCTCATGGGAACGAATCATTGGCGGAGTTACCACCACCCTCACTATCGATGGTACAAAGTTTGTTGGTTCAGCTGTCAACAACCCATCTCTCACCATTAACAGTGTCTCAACTGATGACCAGGGCTACTACGTGTGTATCGCCATTAACAGTGTGGGTATTGGGAGAAGTTCACAGGCCTACCTGACCATCACTGGCAGTAAGTACATACTGGCAATCACACACTGAACTTTGTTTCAGTCTTTGGAAATAATTATCTGGTACAGCATCTTAGTCATCCATTTGTTAAACACAAATTCTTGATTATCAAATTTTACAAAATGTTTCTCCTTGAAAGCAAAAGAGTTTCTAGTAATTAAAATTGATATTTGAACCTCTGCCACATACAAAATTAAAAAAAAAAACAAAAGTCATATGTATTCATCTTGTACATAAAGTATGTATTGGCTGAAGCACAGAGACACAGAATTCAATCTCCATGCGTCGGTCTGTTGGGAGATGATTCCAGGGAAATATTCTCTCTACCAAAATTTTTGATGAATTTTTGATCAACGTTCAGTGTATGTAGGAGTTGTGTTGTATTACAACCTTACAACCTTGGTTCATAATATGTGTGATATTTAGGTATACCAGCAGTGGTGATCAGCCAGCCCTCTTACTCTGTTGTCATTGGCGACACTATCGTCATCGACTGTGACTACAGCTCCACACCTGATGCCACATCCATCTACTGGAACAAGATTGTCAACACACAGACAACTAGAATTACAATTACACAGACCAATAAATACAGTGGTGCCACTCTCACCAACCCATCACTGACAATCACTGGTACAGACAGTAGCGACCAGGCTTTCTACCGCTGTGTTGTTGGAAATAATGTCGGTGAAGGTCAAAGTTCACAGGCCTACCTCTATGTTACTGGCAGTAAGTAATTTTTTTTACGATAGAACATAGAAGAGATACCTTGAAATTATGACATAAAATTGTGGTCGAATTCTTTATTACCTCAAAAATAATGTGCTGTAAGCTTCAAACTTTGAAATTATTGAAATAAAATGAAAACCTGTATGGGAAGTGATGAAATGATATCATATATGTTTCCTATAAAACTCTGCTCAATATCTTTTTTTTCAGACCTGCCCTTGGTGACTGTTCCACAGAGCTCTTACAGTGTTTCACTGGAAGACACTGTTACAATTTTGTGTACTGTAACAGCCACACCATCTGCCACCTCCGTTACCTGGGAGTACACTAACAATGCAGGCATGACCAGTGTTGTTGACCTGACCAATTCCCGGTATAGTGGTGGTACCATAGCTTCACCATCTCTCCGGATTGATTCCGCTCAACTCTCCGACCAGGGGTCTTACAAATGTAAGGCTACCAACACTGTCGGTGAAGGAGAGAGCTCAGACATCTATCTCTATGTTACTGGAAGTAAGTCAATGATTGTGTTAACCATGATGTCTGCCATCTTATTATCAGCATTTCACAGGACATGGCCTTTTGTTTCATATGTTATTAGTTGTGAATGTTTGCTCTTAGAACTGCTCAAAACAGCTTTAGAGAGGCAACCATCTTAAATTTTGAGTTTAAATTTTTATTTAAATTTTCATGGTCCTAAGTTAATTTAGTTTGCAAATTAAAATTTAGAAAGAGTCACCAGAAAAGATGTTTGCAAACAGCAGTTATATTCATTATTTTTTTTTTTATTATTATTTTTTCTTTCCAAGCACTGGAATCCTATTTAGTGGCTTTTTTTCTAGATCTCAGAAATTAGCAGAAAATTTACTATTTAATTCCAATCTGAAATCATGCTTCATACTATTGGTCGGTTTCACTGATTTTTTTTAAGAGACAGGAACAGGAAAAAAAAAGATTCCTCTCACAAGATAAGGAAATTATAGAGCTTAATTTCCAATAAGATTTAAAATTAAGTTTGATAAAGTTTTGCTTATCATATAAAAACTTTATCAACGTTAATTTCAAATCTTATAGGAAAAAATAAATAAAAAATTACAAGAATGATAAACTTACTCTTTCAATTAAAGATCTTACAATTCTACCATCTTGCAGGTCACAGTATCTGCCTAACTTGTATTTTGTTTTGTTACCATCTCTTCCATCAGTGTGGGTAACAGTATCTGCCTAACTTGTATTTTGTTTTGTTACCATCTCTTCCATCAGTGTGGGTCACAGTATCTGCCTAACTTGTATTTTGTTTTGTTACCGTCTCTTCCATCAGTGTGGGTCACAGTATCTGCCTAACTTGTATTTTGTTTTGTTACCATCTCTTCCATCAGTGTGGGTCACAGTATCTGCCTAACTTGTATTTTGTTTTGTTACCGTCTCTTCCATCAGTGTGGGTCACAGTATCTGCCTAACTTGTATTTTGTTTTGTTACCGTCTCTTCCATCAGTGTGGGTCACAGTATCTGCCTAACTTGTATTTTGTTTTGTTACCATCTCTTCCATCAGTGTGGGTAACAGTATCTGCCTAACTTGTATTTTGTTTTGTTACCAGCTCTTCCATCAGTGTGGGTCACAGTATCTGCCTAACTTGTATTTTGTTTTGTTACCAGCTCTTCCATCAGTGAGGGTCACAGTATCTGCCTACACTGTGGATGTTGGAAGCCAGGCGACACTGGCCTGTATTGTAGAGGCCTCCCCTCCGGCTACCTCAGTCTACTGGACAAAGATTATTGATGGTGTTAGCTCCACGATCAGTACTTCTGTAGCTAAGTATGAAGGTTCGAGCGTAGGGACACCATCACTTACCATCAATAACCTGGCTGTATCAGATGAAGGCAGCTACAGATGTAATGCTATTAACACTGTTGGCACCGGTTCTAGTGGTCTCACCTCTCTCATCGTAGCCTGTAAGTCACATAACTTGTGTACAGTTTCTAGGTTATGTTTCAATGGTTTTTACTAGCTGTTGGAAAGGTCACATTGTAACAAATATATAAAAACGTCTTGTCGAGAAATTTCAGATCATGCTGTCTTAAGTCATTTTGTCAGCAGGTTATAGGGAAGAAGAACCTGTAAGTTTGTTCAAATAGATGATCTTTATTTTCTCATGACATTTTTCACACTATGTCGGAATATATTAATGTTATCTTTCACCATTTTTCCAACTGTAAATGATTAAGAAGAAACAGTGTACTTGGGCTTGATTTAAAAGATAAAAAGCTGTATCCTACCATTCGTTTTCAGATGCTCCAAGAAACACTGTGGTGGACCCAGCTGCCGTAACACGAAGAGAAACAGAATCTGTAACTTCTGAGTGCTCCACTGATGCTAACCCTGCTGCTAGCTACCAGTGGGTCAAGGACAGCACCAGCCAGATTGTGTCAAATGAGAAGATTCTACAGATCAGCAACATTGACCGTGGACATGATGGCACCTACACCTGTACTGCTACAAATAGTCAGGGCTCAGATACAGCTAAACTCACAGTTGATGTCCAGTGTAAGAACAAATCTCTACTATCTATACTTATTACACAGTAAATATTTGTTTAAATGTTTATCAATTCAATATTGAGAAGAAAAAAATTAAGATATGCCTTACTTTAAGAAAAATGCATATACAGGGTAAATATATAGAAGGAAAAAGTGTCATAGGTTATCATACTATCAGACTGTAGAAGTCGCACCAGACAGAATGGTCCAGAATAGGTTATCATACTATCAGACTCTAGAAGTCACACCTGACAGAATGGTCCAGAATAGGTTATCATACTATCAGACTGTAGAAGTCACAGCAGACAGAATGGTCCAGAATAGGTTATCACTTAACACAGAATGGTCCAAAATAGGTTATTATACAATCAGACTGTATAATTCACACCAGACAGAATGGTCCAGAATAGGTTATCATACTATCAGACTGTAGAAGTCATACCAGACAGAATGGTCCAGAATAGGTTATCATACTACACAGAATGGTCCAGAATAGGTTATCATACTATCAGACTGTATAATTCACACCAGACAGAATGGTCCAGAATAGGTTATCATACTATCAGACTGTAGAAGTCATACCAGACAGAATGGTCCAGAACATGTCATGACACCAGACAGAATGGTCCAGAATAGGTTAACATACCACACAAAATGGTCCAGAATAGGTTATCATACTATCAGACTGCAGAAGTGACACCAGACAGAATGATCCAGAATAGGTTATCGTACTATCAGACTGTACAAGTCATACCAGACAGAATGTTCCAGAACAGGTTATCATACCAGACAGAATGGTCCAGAATAGGTTGTCATACTATCTGACAGTAGAAGTCATACCAGACAGAATGGTCCAGAATAGGTTATCATACCAGACAGAATGGTCCAGAATAGGTTATCTTACCACACAGAATGGTCCAGAATAGGTTATCACACCACACATAATGGTCCAGAATAGGTAAACATACTATCAGACTGTAGAAGTCATACCAGACAGAATGGTCCAGAACATGTCATGACACCAGACAGAATGGTCCAGAATAGGTTATCATACCACACAAAATGGTCCAGAATAGGTTATCATACTATCAGACTGCAGAAGTGACACCAGACAGAATGATCCAGAATAGGTTATCGTACTATCAGACTGTACAAGTCATACCAGACAGAATGTTCCAGAACAGGTTATCATACCAGACAGAATGGTCCAGAATAGGTTGTCATACTATCTGACAGTAGAAGTCATACCAGACAGAATGGTCCAGAATAGGTTATCATACCAGACAGAATGGTCCAGAATAGGTTATCTTACCACACAGAATGGTCCAGAATAGGTTATCACACCACACATAATGGTCCAGAATAGGTAAACATACTATCAGACTGTAGAAGTCACACCAGACAGAATGGTCCAGAATAGGTTGTCATACTATCTGACAGTAGAAGTCATACCAGACAGAATGGTCCAGAATAGGTTATCATACCAGACAGAATGGTCCAGAATAGGTTATCTTACCACACAGAATGGTCCAGAATAGGTTATCACACCACACAGAATGGTCCAGAATAGGTTATCATACTATCAGACTGTACAAGTCATACCAGACAGAATGATCCAAAATAGGTTATCATACCAGACTGAATTTTCCAGAATAGGTTATCATCCCAGACAGAATGGTCCAGAATAGGTTATCATACCAGACAGAATGGTCCAGAATAGGTTATCATACTATCAGGCTGTACAGGTCATACCAGACTGAATGTTCCAGAACAGGTTATCATACCAGACAGAATGGTCCAGAACAGTTTATCATACCAGACAGAATGGTCCAGAATAGGTTATCATACCAGACAGAATGGTCCAGAATAGGTTATCATACTATCAGACTGTAGAAGTCATAACAGACAGAATGTTCCAGAATAGGTTATCGCACCAGACAGAATGGTCCTGAACAGGTTATTACACCAGAAAGAATGGTCCGGAATAGGTTATCATACTATCAGACTTTAGAAGTCATACCAGACAGAATGGTCCAGAATAGGTAATCATACTATCAGACTGTAGAAGTCACACCAGACAGAATGGTCCAGAATAGATTATCATACTATCCGACTGTAAAAGTCATACCAGACAGAATGGTCCAGAACAGGTTATCATACCAGACAGAATGGTCCAGAATATGTTATCGCACCAGACAGAATGGTCCTGAATAGATTATCATACTATCCGACTGTAAAAGTCATACCAGACAGAATGTTCCAGAACAGGTTATCATACCAGACAGAATGGTCCAGAATAGGTTATCATACCAGACAGAATGGTCCAGAATAGGTTATCATACCAGACAGAATAGTCCAGAATAGGTTATCACTTAACACAGAATGGTCCAAAATAGGTGATTATACTATCAGACTGTATAATTCACACCAGACAGAATGTTCCAGAACAGGTTATCATACCAGACAGAATGGTCCAGAACAGGTTATCATACCAGACAGAATGGTCCAGAATAGGTTATCATACAAGACAGAATGGTCCAGAATAGGTTATCATACTATCAGACTGTAGAAGTCACACCAGATAGAATGGTCCAGAATAGGTTATCATACCAGACAGAATGGTCCAGAAAAGGTTATCATACTATCAGACTGTAGAAGTCATAACAGACAGAATGGTCCAGAATATGTTATCGCACCAGACAGAATGGTCCTGAACAGGTTATTACACCAGACAGAATGGTCCGGAATAGGTTATCATACTATCAGACTGTAGAAGTCACACCAGACAGAATGGTCCAGAATAGGTTATCATACTATCAGACTGTAGAAGTCACACCAGACAGAATGGTCCAGAATAGGTTATCATACTATCAAACTGTAGAATTCACACCAGACAGAATTGTCCAGAATAGTTATCATACTACCAGGCTACAGAAGTCTCACCAGACAGAATGGTCCAGAATAGGTTATCATACTGTCAGACTGTAGAAGTCATACCAGACAGAATGTTCCAGAACAGGTTATCATACCAGACAAAATGGTCAAAAATAGTTTATCATACCAGACAGAATGGTCCAGAATAGGTTATCATACTATCAGACAGTAAAAGTCAAACCAGACAGAATGGTCCTGCACAGGTTATCACACCAGACAGAATGGTCAAGAATAGGTTATCATACTATCCGACTGTAAAAGTCATACCAGACAGAATGTTCCAGAACAGGTTATCATATCAGACAGAATGGTCCAGAATAGGTTATCATACCAGACAGAATGGTCCAGAATAGGTTATCATACCAGACAGAATGGTCCAGAATAGGTTATCATACCAGACAGAATGGTCCAGAATAGGTTATCATACTATCAGACTGTAAAAGTCAAACCAGACAGAATGGTCCTGCACAGTTTATCACACCAGACAGAATGGTCCAGAATAGGTTATCATACTATCAGACTGTAGAAGTCACACCAGACAGAATGGTCCAGAATAGGTTATCATACTATCAGACTGTAGAATTCACACCAGACAGAATTGTCCAGAATAGTTATCATACTACCAGGCTACAGAAGTCTCACCGGACAGAATGGTCCGGAATAGGTTATCATACTATCAGACTGTAGAAGGCATACCAGACAGAATGGTCCAGAATAGGTTATCACACCAAACAGAATGGTCCAGAAAAGGTTATCATACTATCAGACTGTAGAATGCATACCAGACAGAATGGTCCAGAATAGGTTATCATACTATCTGGCTATAGAAGTCACACCAGACGGAATGGTCCGGAAATGGTTATGATACTATCAGACTGTAGAAGTCATACCAGACAGAATGGTCCAGAATAGGTTATCATAATATCAGACTGTAGAAGTCATACCAGACAGAATGGTCCAGAATAGGTTATCATAATATCAGACTGTAGAAGTCATACCAGATAGAATGGTCCAGACTTGATTGTCATACTATCAGACTCTAGAAGTCATACCAGATAGAATGGTCCAGAAAAGGTTATCCCACCAGACAGAATGGTCCAGAATAGGTTATCATACTATCAGAATGTATTGTTTACAGATAGACCTATCAGCACTGTCACTGTTGAAGAGGCCACTGTTACACTTAGCCTTAATGCCCAGAAGAACCTTGAATGTAACACGGTGGCCAATCCAGCTGTGCAGACATACAGGTGGCTCAAAGATGGGGACAGCATTGCTAATGCCAATAGTCTGGTATACCAGGTAACCATTGCAGACAGCAGCAGCTATGGAGTCTACACATGCTATGCCACCAATGCCATCGGACAATCCTCATCCATTGCATTCACCATACAATCAGGTCAGTTATAAATATTGAATTAGAGTTTAAAACTATTTATAACTATAAAGGTACTTGGGTATCTAAAGTTTGCCAAAACAAGGGGTATACCTAAGTCTTCAAAAAAACAACTAAAGGGTCGGTACACAGAAGTCTTGATAAAAATAAAGGGTCGGTACACAGAAGTCTTAATAAAAATAAAGGGTCAGTACACAGAAGTCTTAATAAAGATAAAGGGTCGGTACACAGAAGTCTTAATAAAAATAAAGGGTCGGTACACAGAAGTCTTAATAAAAACTAAAGGGTCAGTACACAGAAGTCTTAATAAAAATAAAGGGTCAGTACACAGAAGTCTTAATAAAACTAAAGGGTCAGTACACAGAAGTCTTAATAAAAAGTTAATGGTTAGTTGATTTAGAGAGTATCTGGGAATGTATTGTCTTTATTAAAAATGATTTGTTTTGATTTTCAGGAGATGTTGTGTTTACCACTCCAGCACCAACAGATGTGGGATTGACTACTGGTGTCATCATTGCTATCGTCATTGCAGCTGTTGTCTTCCTTCTCATCGTCATAATTGCAGTCTGCTGTTGTGTTACTCATGGTAAGGATTCTTTTATATAGGATTAGTATTACCTGCCTTGCGTGTTGTTTTGATGTATTTCTATTTGTAGGCATTTAATGCTCAGCCTTAGTCCTGTAACAGGCAACTGAGATGGAGAACCAACAGATTAATATTTACTCAATAGCATCATAACATCATTTTGAATATTGGATTGAGATTATGATCAATCAAGTTTAAAAGGGTCAAAGGTCGAATTTGACTTCTGCAAAATCAATAAACAATGATGCTTATATGGCAGGTGTTGGAAGCATCCAGCAGACATTTTCTAGTCACTATGAAGACCTACTTCCTTTCACTATCAGTTGACAAGTCATTTGTCACTTGTTACTTCCTGTCACCATACGTTTGACCAGTTATTGATCACAAGTTACTTCCTGTCACCATCAATTGACAAGTCATTTGTCACTAGTTACTTCCTGTCACCATCAGTTGACAAGTCATTTGTCACAAGTTACTTCCTGTCACCATCAATTGACAAGTCATTTGTCACTAGTTACTTTCTGTCACCATCAGTTGACAAGTCATTTGTCACAAGTTACTTCCTGTCACCGTCAATTGACAAGTCATTTGTTACTAGTTACTTTCTGTCACCATCCGTTGACTGGTTATATTGATCACTAGTTACTTCCTCTCACTATCAGTTGACAAGTCATTTGTAACTAGTTACTTCCTATCACCATCAGTTGACAAGTCATTTGTCACAAGTTACTTCCTGTCACCATCAGTTGACAAGTCATTTGTCACAAGTTACTTCCTGTTACCATCAATTGGCAAGTCATTTGTCACTAGTTACTTTCTGTCACCATCAGTTGATTGGTTATTGATCATTAATTACTTCCTCTAACTATCAGTTGACAAGTCATTTGTCACTAGTAACTTTCTGTCACCATCAGTTGACTAGTTATTGATCACTAGTTACTTCCTCTCACTATCAGTTGACCAGTCATTTGTCACTAGTAACTTTGTCACCATCAGTTGACTGGTTATTGATCACAAGTTACTTCCTGTCACTATCAGTTGACAAGTCATTTGTCACTAGTAACTTTCTGTCACCATCAATTGACAAGTCATTTGTCACTAGTAACTTTTTGTCACCATCAGTTGACTGGTTATTGATCACTAGTTACTTCCTCCCACAATCAGTTGACCAGTCATTTGTCACGAGTAACTTTCTGTCACCATCAGTTGACTGGTTATTGATCACAAGTTACTTCCTCTCACTATCAGTTGACAAGTCATTTGTCACTAGTAACTTTCTGTCACCATCAATTGACAAGTCATTTGTCACTAGTTACTTTCTGTCACCATCAGTTGACTGGTTATTGATCACTAGTTACTTCCTCTAACTATCAGTTGACCAGTCATTTGTCACTAGTAACTTTCTGTCACCATCAGTTGACTGGTTATTGATCACTAGTTACTTCCTCTCACTATCAGTTGACACGTCATTTGTCACTAGTAACTTTCAGTCACCATCAATTGACAAGTCATTTGTCACTAGTTACTTCCTGTCACCATCAGTTGACAAGTCATTTGTCACAAGTTACTTCCTGTCACCTTCAGTTGACAAGTCATTTGTCACTAGTAATTTCCTGTCACCATCAGTTGACCAGTCATTTGTCACAAGTTACTTCCTGTCACCATCAGTTGACCAGTCATTTGTCACAAGTTACTTCCTGTCTCCATCAGTTGACAAGTCATTTGTCACAAGTTACTTCCTGTCACCATCAGTTGACAAGTCATTTGTCACTAGTTACTTTCTGTCACCATCAGTTGACAAGTCATTTGTCACAAGTTACTTCCTGTCACCATCAATTGACTGGTTAGTGATCACTAGTTACTTCCTCTAACTATCAGCTGACCAGTCATTTGTCACTAGTAACTTTCTGTCACCATCAGTTGACTGGTTATTGATCACAAGTTACTTCCTCTCACTATCAGTTGACCAGTCATTTGTCACTAGTAACTTTCTGTCACCATCAGTTGACTGGTTATTGATCACTAGTGACTTCCTCTAACTATCAGTTGACCAGTCATTTGTCACTAGTAACTTTCTGTCACCATCAGTTGACTGGTTATTGATCACTAGTTACTTCCTTTCACTATCAGTTGACACGTCATTTGTCACTAGTAACTTTCAGTCACCATCAATTGACAAGTCATTTGCCACTACTTACTTCCTGTCACCATCAGTTGACAAGTCATTTGTCACAAGTTGCTTCCTGTCTCCATCAGTTGACAAGTCATTTGTCACTAGTTACTTCCTGTCACCTTCAGTTGACAAGTCATTTGTCACTAGTAACTTTCTGTCACCATCAGTTGACTGGTTATTGATCACTAGTTACTTCTTCTCACTATCAGTTGACACGTCATTTGTCACTAGTAACTTTCAGTCACCATCAATTGACAAGTCAATTGTCACTAGTTACTTCCTGTCACCATCAGTTGACAAGTCATTTGTCACAAGTTACTTCCTGTCACCTTCAGTTGACAAGTCATTTGTCACTAGTAATTTCCTGTCACCATCAGTTGACCAGTCATTTGTCACAAGTTACTTCCTGTCACCATCAATTGACCAGTCATTTGTCACAAGTTACTTCCTGTCTCCATCAGTTGACAAGTCATTTGTCACAAGTTACTTCCTGTCACCATCAGTTGACAAGTCATTTGTCACTAGTTACTTTCTGTCACCATCAGTTGACAAGTCATTTGTCACAAGTTACTTCCTGTCACCATCAATTGACTGGTTACACTATCACTATTGACCAGTCATTTGTCACTAGTAACTTTCTGTCACCATCAGTTGACTGGTTATTGTTCACAAGTTACTTCCTCTCACTATCAGTTGACAAGTCATTTGTCACTAGTAACTTTCTCACCATCAGTTGACACCATCAGTTGACTGGTTATTGTCATCACAGTCAGTAGTTACTTCCTCTCAACTATCACTAGTTTTCTGTCACCATCAGTTGACTGTTTATTGATCACAAGTTACTTCATGTCACCATCAGTTGACTGGTTATTGATCACTAGTTACTTCCTCTCACTATCAGTTGACCAGTCATTTGTCACTAGTAACTTTCTGTCACCATCAGTTGACAAGTCATTTGTCACAAGTTACTTACCATCAGTTGACCTTTGTCACCTTCCTGTCTCCTCAGTTGACAAGTCATTTGTCACAAGTTACTTCATCTCACTGGCCGGTGAAAAGTCCTTGGTCACTAGTTACTTCCTGTCACCATCAGTTGACAAGTCATTTGTCACTAGTTACTTTCTGTCACCATCACTTGACAAGTCATTTGTCACTAGTTACTTCCTGTCACCATCAGTTGACAAGTCATTTGTCACAAGTTACTTCCTGTCACCATCAGTTGACAAGTCATTTGTCACATGTTACTTCCTGTCACCATCAGTTGACAAGTCATTTGTCACTAGTTACTTCCTGTCACCTTCAGTTGACAAGTCATTTGTCACTAGTAACTTCCTGTCACCATCAGTTGACAAGTCATTTGTCACAAGTTACTTCCTGTCACCATCAGTTGACAAGTCATTTGTCACAAGTTACTTCCTCTCACTATCAGTTGACAAGTCATTTGTCACTAGTTACTTCCTGTCACCATCAGTTGACACGTCATTTGTCACAAGTTACTTCCTGTCACCATCAGTTGACAAGTCATTTGTCACAAGTTACTTCCTGTCACCATCAATTGGCAAGTCATTTGTCACAAGTTACTTCCTGTCACCATCAGTTGACAAGTCATTTGTCACTAGTTACTTTCTGTCACCATCAGTTGACAAGTCATTTGTCACAAGTTACTTCCTGTCACCATCAATTGACTCTCACCATCAGTTGACTGTGATCACTAGTTACTTCCTCTAACTATCAGCTGATCAGTCATTTGTCACTAGTAACTTTCTGTCACCATCAGTTGACTGGTTATTGATCACAAGTTACTTCCTCTCACTATCAGTTGACCAGTCATTTGTCACTAGTAACTTTCTGTCACCATCAGTTGACTGGTTATTGATCACTTGTTACTTCCTCTCACTATCAGTTGACACGTCATTTGTCACTAGTAACTTTCAGTCACCATCAATTGACAAGTCATTTGTCACTAATTACTTCCTTTCACCATCAGTTGACAAGTCATTTGTCACAAGTTACTTCCTCTCACTATCAGTTAAGTCATTTCTCACTAGTAACTTCCTGTCACCATCAGTTGACAAGTCATTTGTCACAAGTTACTTCCTGTCACCATCAATTGACAAGTCATTTGTCACAAGTTACTTCCTGTCACTATCAATTGGCAAGTCATTTGTCACTAGTTACTTTCTGTCACCATCAGTTGACTGGTTATTGATCACTAGTTACTTCCTGTCACCATCAATTGACAAGTTATTTGTCACTAGTTACTTTCTGTCACCACTTTCTGTCACCATCAGTTGACTCATTTGTCACAAGTTACTTGATCACTGTTACTTTGACCTCTCACCATCAGTTGACAAGTCATTTGTCACTAGTTAACTTCCTGTCACCATCAGTTGACAAGTCATTTGTCACTAAGTTAGTTGACTTTGTCACCATCACAAGTCATTTGTCACAAGTTACTTCCTCTCACTATCAGTTGACAAGTCATTTGTCACTAGTTACTTCCTGTCACCATCAGTTGACAAGTCATTTGTCACAAGTTACTTCCTGTCACCATCAGTTGACAAGTCATTTGTCACAAGTTACTTCCTGTCACCATCAATTGGCAAGTCATTTGTCTCTAGTTACTTTCTGTCACCATCAGTTGACTGGTTATTGATCATTAATTACTTCCTCTAACTATCAGTTGACAAGTCATTCGTCACTAGTAACTTTCTGTCACCATCAGTTGACAAGTCATTTGTCACTAGTAACTTTCTGTCACCATCAGTTGACTGGTTATTGATCACTAGTTACTTCCTGTCACCATCAGTTGACAAGTCATTTGTCACAAGTTACTTCCTGTCACCATCAGTTGACCAGTCATTTGTCACAAGTTACTTCCTGTCTCCATCAGTTGACAAGTCATTTGTCACAAGTTACTTCCTGTCACCATCAATTGACAAGTCATTTGTCACTAGTTACTTCCTCTCACTATCAGTTGACCAGTCATTTGTCACTAGTAACTTTCTGTCACCATCAGTTGACTGGTTATTGATCACAAGTTACTTCCTCTCACTATCAGTTGACAAGTCAATTGTCACTAGTAACTTTCTGTCACCATCAATTGACAAGTCATTTGTCACAAGTAACTTTTTGTCACCATCAGTTGACTGGTTATTGATCACTAGTTACGTCCTCTGACTATCAGCTGACCAGTCATTTGTCACTAGTAACTTTCTGTCACCATCAGTTGACTGGTTATTGATCACAAGTTACTTCCTCTCACTATCAGTTGACCAGTCATTTGTCACTAGTAACTTTCTGTCACCATCAGTTGACTGGTTATTGATCACTAGTTACTTCCTCTAACTATCAGTTGACCAGTCATTTGTCACTAGTAACTTTCTGTCACCATCAGTTGACTGGTTATTGATCACTAGTTACTTCCTCTCGCTATCAGTTGACACGTCATTTGTCACTAGTAACTTTCAGTCACCACCAATTGACAAGTCATTTGCCACTACTTACTTCCTGTCACCATCAGTTGACAAGTCATTTGTCACAAGTTACTTCCTGTCTCCATCAGTTGACAAGTCATTTGTCACTAGTTACTTCCTGTCACCTTCAGTTGACAAGTCATTTGTCACTAGTAACTTCCTGTCACCATCAGTTGACAAGTCATTTGTCACAAGTTACTTCTTGTCACCATCAGTTGACCAGTCATTTGTCACAAGTTACTTCCTGTCTCCATCAGTTGACAAGTCATTTGTCACAAGTTACTTCCTGTCACCATCAATTGACAAGTCATTTGTCACTAGTAACTTTCTGTCACCATCAGTTGACTGGTTATTGATCACTAGTTACTTCCTCTCACCATCAGTTGACAAGTCATTTGTCACTAGTAACTTCCTGTCACCATCAGTTGACAAGTCATTTGTCACAAGTTACTTCCTCTCACTATCAGTTGACAAGTCATTTGTCACTAGTTACTTCCTGTCACCATCAGTTGACAAGTCATTTGTCACAAGTTACTTCCTGTCACCATCAGTTGACAAGTCATTTGTCACAAGTTACTTCCTGTCACCATCAATTGACAAGTCATTTGTCACAAGTTACTTCCTGTCACCATCAATTGACTGGTTAGTGATCACTAGTTACTTCCTCTAACTATCAGCTGACCAGTCATTTGTCACTAGTAACTTTCTGTCACCATCAGTTGACTGGTTATTGATCACAAGTTACTTCCTCTCACTATCAGTTGACCAGTTATTTGTCACTAGTAACTTTCTGTCTCCATCAGTTGACTGGTTATTGATCACTTGTTACTTCCTCTCACTATCAGTTGACACGTCATTTGTCACTAGTAACTTTCAGTCACCATCAATTGACAAGTCATTTGTCACTAATTACTTCCTTTCACCATCAGTTGACAAGTCATTTGTCACAAGTTACTTCCTCTCACTATCAGTTAAGTCATTTCTCACTAGTAACTTCCTGTCACCATCAGTTGACAAGTCATTTGTCACAAGTTACTTCCTGTCACCATCAATTGGCAAGTCATTTGTCACTAGTTACTTTCTGTCACCATCAGTTGACTGGTTATTGATCACTAGTTACTTCCTCTAACTATCAGTTGACCAGTCATTTGTCACTAGTAACTTTCTGTCACCATCAGTTGACTGGTTATTGATCACTAGTTACTTCCTCTCACTATCAGTTGACACGTCATTTGTCACTAGTAACTTTCAGTCACCATCAATTGACAAGTCATTTGTCACTACTTACTTCCTGTCACCATCAGTTGACAAGTCATTTGTCACAAGTTACTTCCTGTCTCCATCATTTGACAAGTCATTTGTCACTAGTTACGTCTTGTCACCATCAGTTGACCAGTCATTTGTCACAAGTTACTTCCTGTCACCTTCAGTTGACAAGTCATTTGTCACTAGTAACTTCCTGTCACCATCAGTTGACAAGTCATTTGTCACAAGTTACTTTCTGTCACCATCAGTTGACTGGTTATTGATCACTAGTTACTTCCTCTCACTATCAGTTGACAAGTCATTTGTCACTAGTTACTTTCTGTCACCATCAGTTGACTGGTTATTGAT